TTAAAAGCCCTAACCGATAGTGGGAGTCGAAGAGAGTCGTTGAAGCCAGAGGGAGTTGAAGAGGGGATGTAGAAAAGAAGTTGAGAAAAAAACCCCAATCAGGTCTTTGAATAATCGAATAGAAGATGAAGAGATTGTGCTCGATATAGCTGATATAACCCACCATGTCCCCGATATCAATTCCAACATGACATACTCCTTTTCAATGTGCGGTGCAGAGGGAGTTGAAGAGGGGATGTAGAAAAGAAGTTGAGAAAAAAACCCTAATCAGGTCTTTGAATAATCGAATAGAAGATGAAGAGATTGTGCTTGATATAGCTGATATAACCCACCATGTCCCCAATATCAATTCCAACATGACATACTCCTTTTCAATGTGCGGTGTCGTGCTGGTTAAGGTTACAATCCGCCATGTCAGCCACAACACCTCACATAGTGACCGACATTTATAACCTTGATACCAAGCATACCCATTTTTCTTGTGTGCGCATCGCGGGAGGGGGGCACCAAGCACAAACTTGGTACTTGATAGTAAAGGTGGATGCATCTAAACCATAGATGTGAGATTAGTTAGATGGAAAGTACACCTCCATGTGACCTTTTCTCTTTGTTCTTTACAACCTAATGTGGTCACTTCTCATCCATTCATTTAATGAATGGATAATCAAGCAGAGACAATTTTTAAATGGACACCTTCAAATGTGTGGATGAGAAGCGTCCACATCATCACCAAGCACCAAATTTGTGTACCTAGTAATAAAAATATATACATAGTAGAAAAACAAGATAACATACATACATAATGAATGGATAATCAAGCAGAGACAATTTTTAAATGGACACCTTCAAATGTGTGGATGAGAAGCGTCCTAATGAATGGATAATCAAGCAGAGACAATTTTTAAATGGACACCTTCAAATGTGTGGATGAGAAGCGTCCACATCATCACCAAGCACCAAATTTGTGTACCTAGTAATAAAAATATATACATACACATCATCACCAAGCACCAAATTTGTGTACCTAGTAATAAAAATATATACATAGTAGAAAAACAAGATGTTGGATGAGAAGCGTCCACATCATCACCAAGCACCAAATTTGTGTACCTAGTAATAAAAATATATACATAGTAGAAAAACAAGATAACATACATATAGTAATAAAAATATATACATAGTAGAAAAACAAGATAATATACATAGTAGAAAAACAAGATAACGTACGTACTAACGTACGTACGTACTAACTAACTAACTAACGTACGTACTAACGTACGTACGTACTAACTAACTAACTAACTAACTAACTAGCGTGCGTGCGTACACACACACACACACACACACACACACACACACACACACACACACACACACACACACACACACATACATACATACATAGACAAAATGGCCAGATTGGTATATTTTGTAAAGGTTTGATGACATGTTGGTATATTTTCTTTTAGTTTTGTCAGATTGGTATATTTTGTCGACTCCGACGCCATATAAGTCTTAAAGTTTGGCTGGAGTAGCTGTTCCGGCCAGAGCTGACGAGATTTCTTGCATAAAACTCCTCATTAAAACCCTATCATGCTCCTCCCCCCCTCCCCCCCTTTCCCTCCTCATCCTCATCATCATCCTCCTCATTAGACTATTCCTCCTCTTTACCAACCGCACCCCAATTCTCAAAGGTCCTGTCAGCTTTTCCACCAAAACAGCCCCCAAAACCCTCTAACTTGCCCTCTTGAACCAACCCCAATCCTCCCAATTACTCAATTCAGCAAAGGGAGCTTCAATTGAGCCTTGGATGGGATGTAAGACATCGGATTGCAGTTGGCATTGTGAAAGGGTTGAGGTATTTGCACTTTTGAGTGTAGCCCAAAGATCTTGCATCATAGGTTGAAGCCAGGGAATGTGATTTTAGATGTGGGTTTTGAACCGAGATTAGGGGATTGTGGATTGGGGGCATTGCTTCATACTCGAGTCGATGTTTTGAGCTGTGAGTGTTACGTTGCTCCAGAGTGCTTCCAGAGTTGCAGGTAAAAACTTCAAATGTTATTAGCGTTCCTCAGCATCAAGACCGTGATCCCAACCCAAATTTAATGAGGAAGAGGATGATGAGGGAGAGGTTGAAGAGGATCAGGAGGGAGAGGGGGCGGAGGAGGGGGTTAGGAGCATGATGGGGTTTTATCTCCATCCCGTCAGCACGGGCCAAATCAGTAACTCCGGCCAAACTTAAGACCTATATGCGCCGGAGTCGACAAAATATACCAATCTGACAAAACTAAAAAAATATACCAACTTATCACCAAGCCTCTACAAAATACCAATCTGATCATTTTGCCTATATATATATATATATATATGAGATTAATGGGTATCATTGTCATAGGAGGGGATTTCCTCCTTGACGCCTCTAAAATCACATGATTGAGCGACATTATGGATGATCCGCTCCGTTGAACTTGATCTACATATTCTAAAACCCCAACACACCAAGTTTGGGGTGAATCCGTCATCGTTTGACCCTCCATCGAGCCATATGAAAAGTTCTATTCATTCAAAACCGTTAAAATTGATACGAGTGGATGAATGGTCAAACGACGACGGGTTCACCCCAAACTTGGTGTGTTGGGGTTTTAGAATATGTAGTATATATCAGCGTTTTCAATGCGCGAGGCGCAATGTCAGTTTACGCGCACATGCGCAAGGCGCAATGCGATGCGCGCACCCGAGTGAAGCGAGGCGCACTCAATAAAAAAATTAAAATTCCACGCAAAATTTTTTATTTAATCATGCAAATTAATCAAACTTTCATACTATTATATTACATCACTAACAACTATATTACTAATTTTTTTTTTCTTTACAAGTAATAAATGGCAAATCAAGTTTCAAGTTTCAACTACTAGCAGTCGCACTACATCTAGCTCAAATAGCAAGAATTAATTTGTTTTATAGTGTCAAAAGAAAACCTTGTAGTAGATGCTATTTTTTGTTAAGTATTTTATTTAAAAAACCTTGTAATAGATGTGAAGTATCTTGCCAGAATGAAAGAGGATACGAAAAAGTGACAAGAAATTTTATTTTCGCACTACACCCAGCTCTAGACATCAAATTTCAATCATCCAACAGATAGAGCCCAAGTCCATTAATAATAAAATCACACAAGTGATTCAGAGCTACCAAAGCAGTAAAAAAAGAAAATAAATAACAGAGCAACACAACAACTAAAAGGAAATTGGGAAAACAAAAAGGAAAAAGGAAAAGAAAAAAAAAGAAAAACTAAAAGGAAATCGAAAAACAATTGAGAACAGAGCAACACAACAACAATTTAACACTGAAAGCAGTAACAATGTGTTAAAATACGTACAGTAAAAAAAAGAAAAATTGGGAAACAAAAAGAAAACTGAAAGGAATCGGATGTAAAGTGAATCAGAAAAAAGGAGGAGAAGAAACGGAAAAAGGAGGAGAACTTAAAAAAAGAAAACGAAAAGGAATCGGAAAAAAAGTAAACTGGAAAAAAAGAGAAAGAGAACATGTGCTCGTCGTCGCGGTCTGAGCTCGTCTTCGCCCGTCGTCTTCGCCCGTCGTCGTCACCTGTCGCCGTCGTCTGTCGTCTTCGCACGCCTGAGGAGCGGAGTTCTTTTTTGCTTTCGAGTTGGAGAATGGGTCGGAGGAGTGATGAAGCGTCGAAACCCTAGCCAGATGCCTCTTTTTTGCTTTCGGGTTCAATTCGAAGTCGAGTAAGTACCCAATAACCGCTTGTTGACACTATATATATATATATATATAATATGGGTATGCTTGGTATCAAGCACAAGTTTTTTTGTTTGATAGTGAGGTGTCATTCTCATCCACTCATTCAAATGAGGGATCACATTCACATAGGTTGGGGAGTGGATGAGAATGAAACACCTTACTACCAAGCACAAAATTTTTACTTGGTACGAAGCATACTCATATCTCTCTCTCTCTCCTCTCTCTCACTCTCTCTCTCTCTCTATATATATATATATGTGTGTGTGTGTGTATATATACATATATATATGTATATAAGACAACAATTTGGCATGAATAACAATGCACGCACGTATGCACGCATGCATGAGCACGCGCACACGCACGAGCACGCGCACACGCACGAGCACGCGCACACGCACAAACGTACATACACATACTCTCTCATGATGTAAGCAATGTTAATCTGCACAAGGTTAACATTGCAAGGTGTGGGGTGCCAACTATGAATTTGGAGAACACACAAAACAGGAGCTATCGCTTAATTAAACAGTCAAGCTCATGTCAACAGAACTATTCCCCTCTCTAAAAGGTTCCATGTGATGTGACAAAAAGAATGAGACAAAAGACATGAGAATACTAGTCGAAATAAGTAAAATATTCATATATGGAGAAACAAGTTAAGATAGAAGAAGGTAACAATCATTAAATCAAAGAGAAGTAACTAAGACATTTGGAGAACTATTTGCCTGACATCAAAGAGAGCATAAGAACAAGCAACCAGATAAAAGAGGAATTATAATTACATGCGATATTCTGACCAAAATCCTCACATGATTATGTAACATGAAGAATGCAAAATAATTCCTTCACACTGGCAAGTTTAACATACCACAATAACTTAACCACAATGTAGATCAAAGCCCGCCTAAAAAAATCCCACATAATAAGGTTATAAGAAACATCAAATTTGTGCACAACAATTTTTATGTACAGAAAGAATTTGTTTCAGATTAATTTAGAGAAATAATAGGCCTTTTCTGCATTTTGTTACTGGAAAAATTAAGAATATGCACTAGGATATAGCAGATCGCAGTGATGTGCTGTCTTCCCATTTCTTGCACATGCTTCCCAGTACATTAAATTCACTTTAAAATATGAAAAAATAGCACACAATTCATTGATTAGTCTCACTACTAATAGCATAGACCATTTCCTTTCAAGTAATTATAACATAGGCTACTTTCTCACTAAGCAGATTACATTAACAACCAACACAGCAGATTCAAATTGCAAATAATTAAATTGTTACCTGTAGTGACACATACCTGTGGAACCAGTTGCCACATCTGCCACACTCTTTGCATCCGAGTTTTGTTTGTCCTCATTGCCTGCACCTTTTGCCGCCCAGTTGCAGCGAATCTGTCGATTCCCAAGCCACTTGCCTGCATAATTAGAAACAATCTAGCTCAACAATAAAGCTTGTAATCATCTAAAATCAGCAACAATAAAATATTGAAACCTCCACAACAATTAAATGATAGAACCTTCATGACTTACCATTTAAGTCATTGATGGCACTTTGTGCATCCTGTCAAACGAAATTTGAAAGCATCATGTCAACTCCACGAATACATATGAAGGAAAACTGGACAATAGGAAAGTAACACAAATAACAATAACCTGTTGATTCCGGAAAGAAACAAAACCAAACCCTCTAGAGCGTCCGGTTTTTTGATCCCACATGACCCTTGCATCTCTGCAGCAGAAAGAGCAGTTTAAAACACTATTAAAATGCCCAGTGCACAACTTATACACACAAGTATGTGTTCTTAGGGTATTTAATTGAAGCATTCCAACTAAACTACTGTTTCAAACATCAACAAAAGACACAAAATAATACGGAAAGAAAAATCCATATGAAGCTTACGAGCAGCTGGGAAATACAGAAAAGCAAGCAAATAGAGTATTGTCCGTGATCTCGGGGCTAAGGTCACCAACAAATATGTTGAAGTGCCCTGCAGCTCATAAAAAAACAAGGCACACAATAATGTTACTAATAATGAAATTATGAGATACAACTGTATAAACACATTAAAAAGCAAATTCTAACAAATATGAAATGCAAAACAAAGAAATTTCACCTGATGTATCCTCCCTCTGGTTACTGGTATATGCCCAATTCACCTTGATAGGCTGGCCAAACCTGCAGAGTTTGTATATAATTACATGAAGAAGAAATTATGGCCTGAACAGTAGAAAAAAGAAATAAGCTATGTAACTTACAAGTGCCTCCCGTTAAGTGTCATAATAGCAAGTGCAGCTGATCTACGATCATAGTAGTCAACAAATCCATAGGATGACTGCATAAAACAAACAAGTAAACACCCACACGTTATAGTATAAACATCACAAACAATACTGATATAGCAGACAAGCATTGACAAGATATGGTCATTTGTTCCACAAGCTCGTTTCACAGAGATGACATCTTGGACAAACCAAAAATTATGCTTCAAAATCCTAAACCAGAAAATGCAGGTCTAGCTAAAGGACAAGTTTGAATAGGAGTTACATCTTTAATAAGAATTTAAATTTTCAGGACAACCAGTTTATTCCTCATACTTAAAAGTAATACTAAACATATCAACATCAAAATCCAACAAATGGAAGGCTAAAGCTATAACTTATACATTAAGTAAAATGGTTTACATACTAAACAAACATGAGAAACAAGATCTTGAAGAAAGAGACAGTAAGTCAAGAGTGCTAACCTTATCTTTCTTGATCAGCTTACATCCTTCCAGGACACCACAACTTTGGAAGACCTCTTGAAGAAGAGATTCAGTGACTTGGAGATGAATGTTACCGACATACCTGCAATACCCAAAAGAGGACGAAAAGGACAAATAATAAGACAGACAGCAAATATTAAGGCAGAAAAAATGCAACTAAAACAATGGTTAAATCAAACAGAGGTTGCAATGATAGAAGACCTTATCTCCTCTGGTAAAGATTCTACAAGGCCGGGTAACCTTTCTAGTATGACAAAATCAGATATACCTCAAATAAACTACCCACTATGATGCAGGAATCATTTTGGACTCGGAAAAAAAAACATTTGCGCTATAAAATAGCTTGATCTTAGATTTTTTTGTTTAACAACAAAGTGGCTGGATCAAACATGCAGAAGGAAAAATGCCACAGAAAAAAAATGCAAACAACCTATAGCCAAAAATTCAAATGAAACAAAAAGAAAAGCAAAAAAATGTAGAGAAAATGTCCTAACAACACTCACACACTGCGGCATGAACTTGAATCAAAGCCCGGAGGCAGATTTCCACTTGGGAACATCGGCTCTATCTGCAAAATTAGAAGTGTAAAAAAACAATAAAAAATAAAAAAAAATAACCCCCACTAAAAACCCACCTGAAGTTAAAAATAAAACAATTCCTAAACTAATAAATTTCTATCAAAATAAAAAGGACATAAAATAAACCAAGCTATCTACCTGCTGTCTAGCGCCAAGAAAAGACAAACCAATATCTACCACCCTCCATGATACACATGTAGTAACTCTTATGACAAACAATCAGTAAACGAACAAAGAACAAAGAACAACAGTGCACTATTGGTTATTGGATATGGGCGTAAAAGACAAAAATATTGAAGTATACCACATTCTTTTACACATTACAAGATTCATATTCCAAATATATGCACCAGTAAACATACAGAATAAGTTTATTCTGTATCATGAACATAATTAAATATCATAAATTTCAAGGACATATAACTTCTGCAATACTTATTATGATTCTTATAAATAAAGATAAACGAACAACTCCTTGTTAAAAAAAATGATCATGCAAGCTCCAAAATCTTACTCCTAAGACTGATTTGAATATCACAGACATAAATAAGATGGCGTAACCCTACATCCAATATAAAACAGAACTTTGCCTAAAATGGTTAAAGATCATGAAGCTAGGGTTAGGGTTTCACCTGAGGAGCAGCCAAAAGGGGGTGATTGTACTGCTGCTGCATAAGGCCCTGCTGAATCAAAGCTTGCTGCTTCAGCCTCTGCTGCTGCTGTTGATTCATCATCTAGGGTTTTTGTTTTTCTTCGATCGAATAGCAGAGATAAGAGTTTCTGGAAGATTAGGGTTTTGTAAATTGAGAAGAAAAATGAAGAAAGAAAAAAAAGGATAATAATTGAAAAAAGAAAAAAAGAAAAAAAAAACCCTCGAAATCGAGGGGAAGATGAGAAGTCGAGAGGAAAAAGGAGAGAAAATGGCCTCTGAAGGGGGGAAGAAAAGACCTTGGGAGTGGGTATTTATTTGGTGAGATAGAAGAGCCTAGAAATGCGTGGGGTCGGGTTTTAAATGGGTTTAGCTTGGTGAAGATCCGACCCGGATTTTATGTTCGTTTAAATTTTGGGGTTGGATTCGGGTCGGATTTATGTTTGATTTAGCTTTTACTTACCTAATTTAGTTCTTATAAATGGGAAATTGTTGCAAACCTAGTAGAACCTCTTGCGAATTTTTGACATTGTCTTGTTTAAAAACCAATATTCTTAAGTTAGGATAGTAGAAAGACAGGATATGCCAGTTTTGGGGGGTCAATTTTTCAAATACCAAGATTTGAGAGGCTAGTCTGAAAAAAATGAAGATTTGAGGGGCATATATTAAATTTTACATGCTCGTCGGTAGGTGATTCTTTTCTTATTTTTTGACTACATGGTCAAAGGCTTATTTAAATGTATATTCACAACTAAATAAAAACTTAATTAGCTAAAACACATACAAAAACTAGTAATAGGAGGAACGCTGCGGAACAGTCTTCGTTAAAAGTGTAAACATTGCTAAATAAGCAGAAAACTGAACTCAACAAGCAAGAATAAGAAACCTTTTTGTAACTACATAAACATTCGAGCATTATACAGAGTAATGCTAAACAATGTTTACATAAAAATTGCACGAGGCATATATATGCATGACAAGAATATTTAAGTATAGAGCCACAAATTGCACATAAATTATGATGAATATACAACAAGGCTTAACTTAAATTACTGCTCAAGCCTTTCACTTCTTCAAAGCTGTCATAAAACTCAGTTAGGAACTCATTCTGCTCTCTCCGGTTTCGTTACAATTGACTTCTTTGTTCTCTGAACTTTCACAAGTATTAGTTTCAATGCACTTGAAACATGAGCAAGACCTGGGCTCATAAGAGAAAAAATTCGCTGGGTTTTATCGATCGGACGTTAGGAGAGCAATCATGGCATCTGCAGATTCAGGACCTTGGTTGTTTACGCTGGGGATTATGTGCTCTGGAGATATAAATTGAACAAACTCTCTCAGTTCTGTGAAGCTGCAGTGTTCACTATATGGGACTTCATACCTGCAAAAGTAAGAATATTTAAAAATACAGTAAAACCTATCCCACAGACACATGGAAGCTTAGCTTATCTCTCTTTATTTTCAGAAATATCTCCAGCATTATCAATGGGTATAACCAGGCAATAGTAAAGTGAAGTTCAACCCATCCGCGAACAGTTATATTTACTTCAGACTTCTCTCACTTTTTTGATAACTAAATAGTTCTCATATGAAAGTTACACGTTATAATACTATGACAAACAAAAACATCAAATGAAATCACTTTACTTTTGAATGACAGATATGTGGTAAGATATTTGAGTTTAGCCTCTGAAGAAATTTATTTTGTATGGAAAGAAATCTAATTTCTTTTAATTTTATTAACTTTGTACCCCCAACAATGGGATAATGCATTTATTTGTCTGAATTATTAAAAAAAAATCGGAAATGTCCCTCTCTAGTCCCTACCTCTCTCTACTTAAATTCTTTTTGTTAAACCTCATGGATAACTTTCATCTTGAGAATAGCATAAATCTACGAATCTACGATAAGTTGCATGAGGACATCTTGCTCCCAAGTATCTAAGTCTGAAAAATATAAGTTCATAACTGACAAAGCATAAAGAAAACGATCGTCGAATAGAAGTAACTTGTATCTTTGTAAATGCACTAGCAAGAGTATAAATTTTGTATACATATTTTCCTTTTTGGAAACAATATTTTAAAAAGCGGGTTCCTAGATCACTCGGGCGCCTGTTTAGGCCTAAGCAGTACCAAGGCCGTCTGCCTAAGACTTGGGAGCCCTTAGGGAAATGTGGGCCACTTACACAGACTACATCATTTAGGTTTTGGCCATGATTTCCTCCGCTGTTGGCTTCACGTCCTTCGACCTCCTCCGATTTTCAGTAAGACCTCTCCACCAACACTTCAAACAAAAGAAATCCGCCTAGATCTCTAGGCATCTGCCTAGGCCCAGTCTAGGGGTCCACCTAGCTGCTAGGCACCAATCTGGCGCCTAGTGGCACCTAGCGCTTTCTGTGTAACGTTGCTCTTAGAAGTTATCCATTAAGCGCACCCCCCCCCAAAAAAAAAAAAAAAAAAAAAACCCACCAACAAAAGAAAAATGAAATTTGATTATATAACTTCTGAACTTCTCTCTCTGCCACTGTCTATTGTCAGGCCATCTTATGCCTTTTTGGTGTGCCTTCTAATTGGATATTCGCTTCATTGAAAGTAGTTATATTTGTCTGTAGAGCACCAACTTCTAGGGAATTTTTTAGTTCCTTATGATGGAAAAAATGGATCTGCACTTGTCTTAAAGAGAATCCATAGCGAATGAGTTGCTTAAATCGACAATGCTTTGTTTGTCGTTCAGGCATTTATACAAGTACCGATACATCTTGAAAATTATAACTTGTAAAGATCCATATAAGATGAATATGAATTAGTGTTATTTCCCTTCTTCAGTTGACATAAAAGCTCAGAAGGTGTACAAAAAGAAAATATAGATGACATTTGTTGATTATTAGAAGATTATTAGAAACTATGTTTCAAGTAAAGGAACTTCTTACCGACCCCTTTTCTGAGATTTGAGATGAGCTACTCTTCCTTCAAAAATGAATACATACACAACCCTTTGTTGACGGTCAAAATGTATTCTCACTAAGGATCCAAGCAGTGAACGCCCACGAGAAAAATAAATTTTTCCTTCGTTTCATTGTATTTCTTTTATTGTAATCTATGTCAATTACAATTCAAAAGAACCCGAAACACCCTTATGTTTCAGCTTTCAGTACTTCTATCTTGATACCATCTAAACTTATATATGACAGAGGCCTTATTGCTTTCTTTATCATAAGGTTCCATTATTATTCATTGGTATAAGATGAAAAGGTCAAAAGAAAACCTAAATACAAATTGTTACATTAGCGGTTAATTTTAGTAACCTCCATACTACATAGGTTTGTCTTCAAAGCATTATTTACTTTTATACGAAGAAAGCAGTCAACAAGGACCATATGGACATCAAACTGAGTTTGCAGAAACTTTCTAATGAGAAATAAGTAGTGTGTAAGAATATAACCTGATGATGGTACCCTGCTGCCATCTTCTCCCAGGAGTCTTCTTCTTTCCTTTTCCAAATGTCCAACCAGTTGGAGAGAATGCCACTATTAGGTTGAAGTGACCCTAAGAAACAGATACATATAAAACTAATGAACAAAAAAAAACACTAGTACAACTAAAACATTAAGACTTTATCCATAGCTGTCTTTTTTTAAAAAAAAATCAAACACTCTAAGGAATAACAGTTAGTCTTACAGAGTACTGGTGAGATAAATGCTTCATCCGTTTAAAGCTTGCTATTGTCCACATGGGAACGACATGAATGTGGCTTTCTTTCTCATTTGCTGTAAACCATTGCATGTCCTCCTCAGGAAGCTGCAAGCATCTAAGCAAGCGCAGCTTAGCAGCCCCAACATAAACTTTCTTTTTTAGTAGTCGAGCAACCTCCAGGAACAGCCTCTCTTTTCCTGCGACCAGTAAAGAAAAGACCCAGGGACAATCAGAATACACTGGTGTAGGAAGAAGATAATTTTTTATGCATTTAACCTTAAAAAATTATATGGTTATTGGTTTTTTGGTGCTTCTATGTGGTGTTGGTTTTGAACTAAAATCACAGGATTTAGTAAAATTTCACATGATGGAGAAAAAACTGCTCCACCAAAACCACCAGGGAGGATTTGATTCCTCTCAAAACCTTATCAAACTTTACATCTATGTTCAGATACAAATCTATCCACAAAACCACCCGACACAATTTGTGCCCACCCCTACAGTTGAATTTTACAGCATGCCTTTCTGCATTGGATATTAGGTCAAAAGGTACCAGGATATCCTTTTTCTCCTTGTAATCTCATGCCAATCATACTCGTAACTTATTACTCCCATCTCTGATTCTAATATACTTTTGAATCTATTTGACACACACCACCTACTTGTTTTGAAAGTTACTCTTATCTTTATAAACTGCAGGATCCTTGTTTTAAGTCCCAATACTCCTAACAGTATTCGCAATATATATTTTGCAACTAGTACCTTAGATATATGTCTTAAAAAAGTTACGCGTAGATTGACCATTGCTAGCAAAATATTATATGATAACAAAACAGGATATTCATGTTTCACATGAAAGGTTTGAGAAGGGGAAAAAATTGCCAAAAAGAGAAAGAGAAGGGAAAATGAGAACAAAAAATCGATACTAAAATATTTATAAAAAGGTGGAATGATGGTTGCTTACCAATAGTATATGTACCGATCAGAAAGAGAGTTTTTGGGTTAAAAGCTTCTGCTTGAATAGCTTCGATGACAAATTGAATTACAGCATGTTGCTTTGGAAAATCATACTGCAAAAGATTTTCATGGGCATAAAAATGTTTAAATCTAGAAAACATTTGAAGAAAAGTGAAGCAAAAAATTGATGATGAAGTACCTGTGGATTACAGTAGGTAGTGTCAAGGACAAGTGTGTGGATATGACATGACTGCAAAACAGCTGAGCTTGCCATTTCTGCAGAAAACCGGAAATCCCCAGTGTGCAGAACAGCCTAAAGAATACAAAATGCTAAAATAAATCATATTCTCTTCAACAAAACCAGTTAAGTTCTTATATACTTATCTGGATTTATTATACGAAACATTTACTAAAAGGCAATGAGAAGATAATGGCATACCTTACCATTGGGTGGCTCAAAAAGAATAATAATTGATCCGGGACAGTGATTCGCATCTAAGCAAGTCAAGTTAACACCAGAAACCGTAATTTTTTGGTTTAGGGGTAATATTTGAAGCCTTTCCCATGGTACACCAATCTTCATATTCACAAGGTGTGCTGTAATAGCAGAACAGTATATCTTTCCATGGCAAAAGTTTTTTGTAAGACCTTGATAATCTGCCCACAGATAAAAGTTTCAGGAAATATCATCAGACCACTAACTAAAAACTGTATTTAAAGGGGGGAAAAGAAAGAACATTGCCAACAAATAACAGGTTTATGAGAATTATGAATTTAGAAGATAACACACTAGTAACTAATAAACATCTTGGGAGGGAATATTTGTAAAAATATTTTTTGAAGTACATGGTGATGGGATTGATTTTAAATTATTACGTGCAAATACAAAGGGTGAGGGCAGAGCGATTCTCTAAGCAGAGGCACCTTCATGAACCAACATAGAAAAGAAGTAAATCAGCTTAGTGGCTATGACAGTTTTAAGTAATTTAGACTGTCTTTCTAACTATTAGAACATTACGAGCAACACATTCTGACTGTGCCATTCATAGAATGAAAAGAGTATAATTATGAAATAATGATTTTGGAGCTATAGAAGGTACAATTTCATAGAAAAAGTGGCAGCAAGTTATGATAATTACAACAAATATGACATAAATTATCACAGTTGCAAGAGAAGTAAAGACTTACGATCCATATGGAAATGTGTCAGAAACCAGTGAGAACAATCTGCTCTTAGAAAACGGAAGGCGTCCTGCATTTACAAAACAATTGCAGAGGAGCATGATTAATCTAGTGTTACAGTTATCATAAGAATCAAACACACACAAGGGCGGGAATATTGAACAGATAATGTATGGTACATCCTTGGAGCTATGTTATCACTCCTTTCATTTTATGAGCCATTATAATCCAGGATCATTAGCTGCAGCTGTATTAGAAAACAAACATGCAAGCTAATACTCAGTTATGCAGTACCCAAGGTTTTAAATGTCAGATGTCGGGTTCATGTCGGATGGCTGAAATCCATGTCGGATAGCGAAAATCAGGGATATATCGGGGGACATGGACGAAATATCGGATTGTCATATCGGGTGGTGCGCATATGTATAATATCATATCCAAAATGTAATCTAAGTATTCCTAAATTCAATATAAGCATACTTTATAATTCTAGAGGCGGCGCCGACGATGGGTGGATTCCGACGTCGCAGGGAGGCAGTGCCGGCGACGGGACATCGTAGGGAGACAGTGTCGGGGCTCTTCTTATTCTTCTTCGTCTACTCGGGGTCCTTCAGATGAGTCACCGACCACCATATTCCCTTTATCCCAACATCGAGGTACTATGCCGCCCTTGGGTTCGGTCAGGGTTCGAATTTCGGGGCGCAACGGGAGATAAACGACGGGGGTCCGAGATGGAGGTGTGGGAAGGACGTCGTCGTTTACGAAAGGAGTGATCGGTTTTCAAGTCCGCTGTAGCCCTAAATTTTCTCTTTTATTTCTATTAGGTTCATAAGAAACCCTTAAACATGAGAACGGGTCAAACGGGCTTGAATTTTTATCACTAAACCCAAACCCGATAAGAAAAAACAGATCTTGAAAAAGAAGGGTCATATCGGCCGAAAATTAGCCGATATGCCCAATATGACCTCGATATTTCCGATTTGGCCCTGAATTTCCGATTTGGCCCTGAAAACCGACATACGAGTTGAAAGCGTTCATGTCGTGTCGCTCAAGCCCTCAAACTAACATGTCAGCCGACATTTAAAACATTGGCTGTAATGCCTTAGTGAAACCTGGTACCATTGGCTCACCAGCATCCTTTAACTGATCAGGGATAAATTGGCTCTCCTGGGCGATGTTATTATCTGTAGCTTCCCCCATCTCCAATACAAGCAACACTAATTTCTATTCTGAATGAGCTCAAATTAGTATAGAAAGGTAAAAAGTAATATTTGTTTTAGATTAACTCAAAACAACATGAACTAGAATGTACCCAAATAAGCATGGAAAGGTAAAAGAGTAATCTCTGTCTTAAATTAACTCAAAGCAGCATACCCCTCAATGTTCGAGGTGCCTCGTCCGCTTTGCATGCTAGGTATAAACATGCAGCGACAAATTTAGTTGGATCCCTGCTTTGGCAGCCTCCGATTACTTTCATATTTCTATAGATATCCTTGGCAGAGTCCTCTAAAAAATTGTTTAATTTAGAACCACAACTGAACAAACATTGAAAGTTATGATGATCTTAGAGAAGTTAACAGAACAATGTATTCATGAACGGAATTTGCATGGACAGAGTTATGAAATTTGTACCTTCATGCGTGATACAGCAGTCAACCTGTTACAAGCAAACAAAGTGATCAGAAACTAGTCTTTTTGATAAAACACCATTCTTTTTTGATTAATTATTATGAAACCACTCGAGGTTTGACCTACCATTTCATACCTCCTCTTCTTCACAAAGCTCCTCATTTATTTCAAATTCCTCTTTCAACGTGTGTTACACGCAATTTTTAAACAAAATTAACAATGAAGACAATGGTAGGAGGGGTTATAATAAGAAAATAACAATTGGGACATCCTAATAATTAATTAGACTGATGGTTTCGTAATAATTAGTTTTTTATTTTATTTTTTTTCAAGAACACCATTTGCCAAAATAAGATTTCTACAAAAGTCCTTTTCTTTTAGCCAAGAACTCTTTGAAAAATCTTCTGAGATGCTAGAACATGAAAAATTGTGACGTTATCAAGAACAATGCTATCAACTAGTCTAATAATCTGATGCATCAAGAACTCAAATTCAACATGAATACAAAACTCAACAAAAATGAAGAAAATAACAGTTAAGCATCCTAGTAATTGATCAAACTCTGATGGTTTCGTAATGATTAGTTATTTTATTTTATTTTTCAAGAACCCAATTTACCAAACAATATTTCTACAAAAACCCTACAAAAACCCTTTTCTTTTTGCCAATAACTCGCTGAAAAATCTTCGGAGATGCTATCAAGAGCGTATTGAAAATGAAAGATGAGAACTTGTGATATTATCAAGAACAATGCTATCAACTAGTCTAATAATCTGATGCGTTAATAACTCAAATTCAACATAAATATAAAACTCAACGAAGATGAAGAAAATAACAGTTGGGCATCCTAATAATTGATCGAACTCTGATGGTTTCATAATAATTAGGTTTTTATTTTATTTTTTCAAGAACACAATTTACCAAAACAATATTTCTACAAAAACCCTTTTCTTTTTGCCAAGAACTCACCGAACAATCTTCACAGATGCTATCAAGAACGCACTGAAAATGAAAGATGAGGACTTGTGATGTTATCAAGAACAATGCTATCAACTAGTCTAATATCTGATGCATCAAGAACTCAAATTCAGCATGAACGCAAAGGAAAGAAACATAAAACTCAATGAAGATGAAGCAAAATGAAACACACATGTCTCCAATGCTATCAATTAGCCTAGAAATCTCATCGTCAAGGTCAACCTGAATCATTGCAGCAATCTCAGGAGCTACAGGGACATTGTTCAGATCATCATCACCAAGCATCCTCTCCGCATTGAAGACAATTCTTTCCTCAAGAACTAAACCGCACTCTGAACAGATTTTATCCCCAGTGGTGTAGTCTTCGACCACCCCAGATAAGCGCTTGCAATCTGCACAACTCTGAACAGATTTTATCCCCAGTGGTGTAGTCTTCGACCACCCCAGATAAGCGCTTGCAATCTGCACAGAAGTCCATTGTTCAAGCTGTTTTTTGTGTAGTCTTCGACCACCCCAGATAAGCGCTTGCAATCTGCACAGAAGTCCATTGTTCAAGCTGTTTTTTGGTGCTTTTTTATCAGGTTGGCTTAGAAATTTTTTTGAGAATGTGTTTGTTGAAGATGTTGTGACTTGTGAGTTCTTGCTTTTCTTCAGTCAGGTTGTGTAAGGGTTTTCTGTTATTGGTGTCGTTTAGTTATATGGGTTGAGGGGCTTTCTGAAGATAGAGATTGCAAAAGGTTTTAAGTGTGTGTATATATAGTGGGGGCTTTGGGGGAGAGTTTATAGAGGCTTCAAGCTATGAGAGGGAATTTTGGTTTTGAAATAACTAGCACGTGCAAAGCATGGGTGAGACATCATATGTTTATCATATTAAGTTCAACTCTCAATCATGTGATTTATTTCGTATCCATCATTTGCTCTGTGTAGTGTATATATATCCCATATAAAACTCTGCCATTTATATTATTTCCAATCTATTTCTATTAATTGCATTTACAATTGAAAATTTATAAAAGAAATTAGGTTTAGACATATTTCTTGCAATATAAAATAAATTATAGAAATCATATTTCTTTAACAATCAACATACAAACTAAGGAAGCATTACTAATTAGTTCGAAGTTAAGGAGATATTATATTGCATCTAGCTGCAAAATAACATATATAATATTGTATGGTATTTGTGAGAACATATATTACATAAAATATTCTCCATACCTACTACCATCTTCTGAGACCCTCCTCTCCCCCATAATTTCATATATGTTATAGTAATCTCCTGTAGTTGTGAGAACTTACATTACATGAAAATCTTCCTACAACTCGATCATCTTCTTTATTAGTTATTAACTACACATTTTAATTGAGTCGATGCAAGTCATTACCTAGTACTCCAAGAGAGCTTGGTGATTTGTTTGATTTCTCAATGTTAAATTGTTGTTGGACCATGAGTTCACTGTTACATGACCAAGAGAGCTCGATGCAAGTCACTACCTGATAATATAGTAAATTTATTGCATTGTTTTGAATTCCAAAAGGATGAATAATTTATTTTATATTGCAAGAAATATGTCTAAACCTAATTTCTTTTATAAATTTTCAATTGTAAATGCAATTAATAGAAATAGATTGGAAATAATATAAATGGCAGAGTTTTATATGGGATATATACACTACACACAGCAAATGATGGATACGAAATAAATCACATGATTGAGAGTTGAACTTAATATGATAAACATATGATATCTCACCCATGCTTTGCACGTGCTAGTTATTTCAAAACCAAAATTCCCTCCCATAGCTTGAAGACTCTATAAACTCTCCCCCAAAGCCCCCACTATATATACACACATTAAAAACCTTTTGCAATCTCTATCTTCAGAAAGCCCCTCAACCCATATAACTAAATGACACCAATAACAAAAAACCCTTACACAACCTGACTGAAGAAAAACAAGAACTCACAAGTCACAACATCTTCAACAAACACATTCTCAAAAAACAATTCTAAGCCAACCTGATCAAAAAGCACAAAAAAACAGCTTGAACAATGGACTTCTGTGCAGATTGCAAGCGCTTATCTGGGGTGGTCGAAGACTACACCACTGGGGATAAAATCTGTTCAGAGTACGGTTTAGTTCTTGAGGAAAGAATTGTCATCAATGCGGAGAGGATGCTTGGTGATGATGATCTGAACAATGTCCCTGTAGCTCTTGAGGTTGCTGCAATGATTCAGGTCGACCTTAACGATGAGATTTCTAGACTAATTGATAGCATTGGAGACAGGTGTGTTTCATTTTGCTTCATCTTCATTGAGTTTTATGTTTCTTTCCTTTGTATTCATGCTGAATTTGAGTTCTTGATGCATCAGATATTAGACTAGTTGATAACATTATTCTTGATAACATCACAAGTCCTCATCTTTCATTTTTAATGCATTCTTGATAGCATCCGTGAAGATTGTTCGGCGAGTTCTTGGCAAAAAGAAAAGGGTTTTTGTAGAAATCTTGTTTTGGTAAATTGTGTTCTTGAAAAATAAAATAAAAACCTAATTATTATGAAACTATCAGAGTTCGATCAATTATTAGGATGCCCAACTGTTATTTTCTTCATCATCGTTGAGTCTTATATTCATGTTGAATTTGAGTTATTGACGCATCAGATTATTAGACTAGTTGATAGCATTGTTCTTGATAACATCACAAGTCCTCATCTTTCATTTTTAATACGCTCTTGATAGCATCTCCGAAGATTTTTCAGCGAGTTCTTGGCAGAAAGAAAAGGGTTTTTATAAAAATCTTGTTTGGTAAATTGGGTTCTTGAAAAATAAAATAAAATAACTAATCATTATGAAACCATCAGAGTTTGATCAATTACTAGGATGCTTAATTGTTATTTTCTTCATTTTCGCTGAGATTTGTATTCATGTTGAATTTGAGTTCTTGATGCATCAGATTATTAGACTAGTTGATAGCATTGTTCTTGATAACGTCGCAATTTTTCATCTTTCATGTTCTATGCATCCTTGATAGCATCTCAGAAGATTTTTTAGAGTTCTTGGCTAAAAGAAAAGGGCTTTTGTAGATATCTTATTTTGGTAAATGGGGTTCTTGAAAAAACTAAAATAAAAAACTAATTATTACGAAACCATCAGAGTCTAATTAATTATTAGGATGCCACAATTGTTATTTTCTTATTATAACCCCTCCTAGCATTATCTTCATTGTTAATTTTGTTTAAAAATTGCGTGTAACACACGTTGAAAGAGGAATTTGAAATAAATGAAGAGCTTTGTGAAGAAGAAAAGGTATGAAATGGTAGGTCAAACCTCGAGTGCTTTCATAATAATTAACCAAAAGAATATTAATCCAAAAAGAACGGTGTTTTATCGAAAAGACTAGTTTCTGATCACTTTGTTTGCTTGTAACAGGTTGTCTGCTGTATCACGCATGAAGGTACAAATTTCCTAACTCCCTCCATGCAAATTCCGTTCATGAATACATTGTTCTGTTAACTTCTCTAAGATCATCATAAGTTTCAATGTTTGCTCAGTTGTGGTTCTAAATTAAACAATTTTTTAAAGGACTCTGCCAAGGATATCTATAGAAATATGAAAGTAATCGGAGGCTGCCAAAGCAGGGATCCAACTAAATTTGTCGCTGCATGTTTATACCTAGCATGTAAAGCGGACGAGGCACCTCGAACATTGAGGGGTATGCTGCTTTGAGTTAATTTAAGACAAAGATTACTCTTTTACCTTTCCATGCTTATTTGGGTACATTTTAGTTCATGTTCTATATTCTTCTTTGTCCTTCTTAGGCTAAGATGTAATGTCTTCTTTAGCAACTAGTGAACATAGATCAATATCACTATGGAGTCTTCCTCATGAAGGCATGAGTTCTGCATAATCAAAGCAGTTCGAGAAGACGAACAAGAAGAAGAAAGAGGGAAGTGATATTTTGCCACCTTGCTTATAGTATAGTCTCATTGGTGGGTAATTGTGAAGTTAAAAGACTTTTGATTCTTGTGTATACATGTTTGTCATTATGACCCAACTAAATTAGTTATTTTGTATATGTATATATTAATTACAGTTGAGAAAATTGACACTCTAATAGTAAATTCTATAGTGAAATCATATCAAAGCCCACAAGGTCAAACTTCACACTTGTTATGAATTTGGTTCTAGATACCATTTTGCAAAATCTCAACTGACTCCAGCAAGAAAGAAGCAAACTGACTGACTGACTTATTAGTGAAACCATGCAGGGACGGAGGCACATAGGGTCCATAAGGCCCTGGCAGCCCCTTGGGAAATTAAAAAACATGGGTGGTAATCTGTTGTAAATTTTTTTTAATAGTAGGGGCTAAGATGTAAATGATTCAAACAAAGAAGGTTGTTTTTTGATATTATTCCCCCAAGTCTTTCATATTTGAAATTAGTTCCCCGAAAAGTGTTTTGAAACTGGTCCCCAAAATCTTCATATTTTGAGATTAATCCCTGAAATCTCTTAAATACTTGAAATTAGTCCCCCAACGCTTTCAACCTTCTACTAACTAGAGGGACTAATTTCAAAACTCTTAAATGATTTAGAGGACGACTTCCAACATATGAAGATTTGACGGGCTAATTTCAAACTACTTGAGGATTTGGGGGACTAATTTTAAAATACAAAGATTTGGGGGACTTCAAAATATGAAAGATTTGGGGGATTAATATCGATGTTGAACGGATGGATTGCAAGAGAGTTTTGATTCTCGCAATACCTTCCGTTGTATTCTAATTTGAAATTTGATGTTGAAAGTTTTGTTATGTATTGTGGTTTAGATACTAATTAATCATGCAATTTTTTTTACATATTAGCATGTTAAACTATCAAATTTTTTGCCGCCCCCCCCCCCCAAAAAAAAATTTAAAAAATAAAATAAAAAAACCTGACTCTGCTACTGAAACATAGTTAAAGACAAAATCATTTGTTTTCAATTTACAAGGAACATCATATATTATTTCCACGCTAATGTGTTTTACACTATTTATTGGAACTCCTATATTTTCCAATGCTATCAATATTTCACTGCTTCAAAACAAGTGATCAGATAAAATTAGGTAAAGTGAAAGCAAGGGCAGGCTGCCTGTATATTATTGACAGGTGAAATTTGTTTACATCAATTATACCTGTACAAAAGTTGTTATCTTCACAGTTTCATATTTTACTCCTCAATGAATCAGCAGAAGCAGAGAAACCTAGCTTGTGTTTTGTGAAATAGGATATAGATAATCACAATAAGCAAATAGCAAAAATTATCCATGAAGACAGAAAAAAACACAGAAGAAAATAGTTCTTGAAGTAGGAGGAGGATTTATTGTACCACTCGAAATGATGTTCCTGCTATGGTACACCATGGGGGTATATCTCTATGTTTTCCCATGTTGACGTGACTTCTAGGGCCAGCCCTCTTACGAACTGAACCCCTACTGGTTTTCTCTACCCCATGCGGAGCATCGCTGAGCTTGCAAGGTCCCCTACTGCTAGCAGGACCTTGAAAAAATTCCGTAATTAACTTGTTCCCAGGTATCGATGATTTTGTTTTCTCATCAATTGTCGTGATGCAGTTGTCTCTTTCTATGCCATAGCCATGATTATTCTTTTTCCGGAGCTCATTGAGTGCATGTACAATTTTTTTTCTCGGTCCAAGTGCTACAATCCCTATACTGAGAAGATCCTGCAACACTACAAATATTTCAATAGGAGGACTAGTTAAAACAAACTCATCACTAAAAGGAAAAAGAACTGGAAGCAGATCAGCTTCTGAGAATACAGAATAGTAAATCACTCCACCAGAACAAGGACCACAAAGGAATCAAAAGCTAATAAACGAAATTGATAGGTTGACTAAAGATTTATGGGAAAAAGTAGAGACCAAGAAGTTACACATAGCAAACCTCTTCAGTTAGCCATTGAAGGGTCTCCCAATCAACCTCCTCCTTGATAAAAGCTTCTTCATATCTAGAGAGACCCAATGTCCGTAGCCATTCGAGAACAGGATTGACATCGGGAACTTGTTGAGGAGAGTCAGTTTTATTTATTTCAGCAGCCAGGAATTAGCCACCTGACAATTATTGTACTTTTTCAATACTTATAGTTTAATACCAAAGCATAATGAAACAATGAAGTCTCTCCTTTTACTGCAATAGGTAAAGGCAACCCAGAATAGGAAAACTGTCTAACAGGCTTCTCAAAGAGCTTTCTGTAAAGAGCACATTCTTTCTTAAACAAATAATTGCCAACTAAAGACATGTCACATAACAAATGCCTTATTTTATAAGCAGCAAGCAGGGTCAAATACAAGCAGAAAAGTTTAAAAATAAGTAGTAGTCCTAGAAGGAAAAGGAAGCATATTTGAATTTACATAATACATAAATAAATAACTGAATCCTTGAATGTGCATAAAAATCCTAGTATCAGAAAATAAAGTAATTACTGCTGCAATGAATATGCAGATGCCAATAATTATGCAGTTTAATTATAAAAAAAATTCAGATGCTTAATTTAAATGCATACCTGTAGGTGTAAATTTATGCTTAGGCTTTATGCGGCTCATATTGAATGCATAATAGCAAACATAGAACGGTTATACAGTAATTTATGTCATAAGAATCAGCATCAGGAATGTACAAGAGGGCATAAAAGAGCATAAAATCTCAGCATTCTGATTTTTTTACCTTGTGTATTACATACTTGGAAATCACTGTACGAAATCAACATGCAGACATGAGTAACAGAGGGACAAGGGCAAAAGTGAATGGTTTTAGTCCTTCAATTGCACCAACATTTCATAGAGTAAGCACATTTCATAGAGTAAGCAGTCCTTACATGGTATGGATTCTCAATATTCCCTTCAAGCCATTATACTTCCTGTTCTCATAGTGAATATGGGAGAATATTTAAATGAACAACCTAAGAAAAAAAATACTCCGATGTCATTAACAACTCACACGGTGTATGAGGAGGACGCACTGTGACACCCACACTTTAGTCCCACATGGGCTAGTATGAAAAAATATTAGTGGCTTAAATAGAGAAGCTCAAGGCCTAAGAACAACTAGTGTTAGCATTTTGACAGTGGGTTTTAGCCAACATCGAGTTGTTCTCGGTGGGTCTCATGGCTTGCGCGCGCCAACGGGACCTTGGGTCCGGGGCATGACAAATGGTATTAGAGCAGTTGTCAGCCGGAATTGTGGAGCTAAGTGCTATACGGGGCTAAGTGCTACATCATGTAGATGCGGTGTGAGCCACCTCTAGAGCCCGTATGAGCCACTTCTAGAGTCCACATCCGTCTGGCAGTAATACTGAAATGTGCCAATTGTCATGTCGTGACGACGAGGACGTCGTCTTTGTAAGGTGGGGTGATTGTGACACCCACACTTTATTCCCACATGGACTAGTGTGAAAAAAACATTAGTGACTTAAATAGAGAAACTCAAGGCCAAAGAACAACTAGTGTTAACATTGACAGTGAGTTTTAGCCAACATCGAGTTGCTCTCGGTGGGTCCCATGGCTTGCGCGCGCCAACGGGACCTTGGTCCCGGGGTGTGACATGCACCATGTTCCGTGACGGTAACGATGTTATGCAATCACATGCCTAGTTCAGTATGTGGGAGTAACCGAATAAGTATCCAAGTAGACAAAGATCTTTAAGTTGTCCTTGATCTTCTTTTATCAATGTGCATGTTCATATTTCGAATTCTTCAAGCTATTCAGCTAAGTATACCTTGAAATTTATAGGCAAAGCTAGCACTGAACAGAGATCACTGTGAATAGCAATTATGACATCTACTAGATGAACAGATTAGCTTTTTTAAACTATCTGCAAATCATGAAACAATTAGCAAGACGTTTTTTCAAGGATAAAGTTTGTGTTGCACTGGTTATTTTTCGCTAGAAAATACTCAAGTTATGAACATGGGTTAACTTGCATACACTAAACAAGGTTGATCTAATTTTTTTTCATATAAGTTCAGATGCAAAGATTAAGAGTGATAGAATCACCTCAGTTGTCATAGCTTTGTCAAGGCAATCATTTGTGTGAACTTGTCGCTGCTCTTCGCTCAAATAAGTGATATTAGCGCCGCATAAGGGACATTCCACTAACCCATCCTTGTCCATCTCAAATGTATCGTTGTATAAACCATTCCTTTCAAATGAGAAATCACTAACACTTGAGCCACCTTCTCCAATTTCACAACAAAGATCCATTAACACATTAAGCTGAGTCCCCAGCTCCAAATCCCTATGACTATCTACAGCATCAGATGAATCACACTTCACCCTCGACCCCAACAACCTAGATTCAACTGACATAGAGTAATAACTAGCCTTTCCTATCTTTGAACACATTTTATCCTGACACCCCTCAAAATATTCCATTGATTTGGGATCTTTCTCCTTCTGTCTCAACTCAGCATTGCTAAAAGCATCTCCAGCATCTGTTGAACACAACTTAGCTTTCGATTCCAGCAGCCTCGACTCGATTGACATTGAGGAAGAGCTTCCTCTTTCTTCTTTCAAACTGCTGACCACCTCAAGAGGAGAGTGTGTGTTGATGTCAAACTGCACATTTTCACAATTCTCCATGGTCTTCAATTCTTCTGACCTTAAAATGTCCTCCTTGACCTCATCCCTCTCCTTGGACTCAATAGCAGCAGGACCTGTTAGCTCAAAAGTAGAGGAAACGCATATATCAGAAGAAGGGCTAGACTGGGTTAACCCTAACCCAGATCCAATTGGCCCCAGAAGCTGACACTTCTCGTCTCCCACTTCCTTGCTCTCATGAGAAACCCTAGAATTTTGCATTAATGTCTCATCGCTAAGCCCGTTCTCTTTGCTAAATTTAGAAATCTCAAGACCGCGCACATTAGAAACCCTAGAAGAATCGGACTTTGATACCCGCCTAGCTCTTCGATTCTCCTTTCCATTTGAAACCGAGGGTTTCTGCCTCTTTCGAGGCGGCGGCGCTCCGTTCGAAGGCCTCAACGGTTGGGAGAAATTAGGGTTTCGAAGGGACGACAAGATGAGATTTTGGGCAACGGCGACGGCTTGGCTAGGGTTTTGGAAGTCGTCGTCATCGTCCTCGGTCGACATTGGAACGTTTAGGGAATCGGGTGCTCTTGATTTCATAGCGGGTTTCGGATCCAAAGAGATTACGAGCTGCTTGAAGAGGCGAGGGAGTGAAGTGAGGAGGCGTATGGTATCTGGCCACCGCCGGTGAAATTTCGGGATCAAGTGTTTACATCTTGGCCGCCCATTTTGTGAAGGAGGGCGATGGATTGGCTCCCGCCAGAGTTGGTATTAAAATGGACGGCTACTTCGAATGGAGTGGAAATAAATGTTAGTGGGCTCTAAATATTGGTAATGGGCCTAATAGTGACTACCGTCAACGGCCTAATACTAATTTTGTTTTTTATTGATGTTCGGCCTTTTAAATCACAAGGTGAAAACATTAACGAAGACTAGAATTGACTTCTGAAATTTCGTTCAGAGAGAGAGAGAGGGAGATTGCATCGGCATTAATTGACATAACAGATCTAATATCCACATTCCTTTTTTTTGGTGTTCAGGGGCTGTTTAGTTCGCTATTATAAGGGGTGGAAAACTCAGAAAACCCCTCCACGTCAGATTTTTAACCCTCCACGTCAGCTTTTTTGTTTCCGTCCATTTCTTTGTGCCGTTTTGGTTCGCTCGAATGGAAGAGGGAAAACTCTGCTGAAATCGCCGCCAACTAAGATTTTTTCCCCTCTCCGATTTCCTTCCCCAACCAAGTGAAATTGATGAAAACTCTGCCACGTTAGATTTTTTTTCTTCTCTGCTTTGTTTACAAAAGTTTTCCTTTTTTTTCTATGCGAACCAAACACAAGAAAAATAAATACATTAGTTTCCCACCATTTTTTATGTGCGAACCAAAGCAAAACAATCTATTTCTTGGAAAAGTTTGAAAAACTCAAAACTTGTATTTCTTTACATGGAATTGTATTTTTCTATATCAAGAAAACGAACCAAACAGCCCCTCAATGTAAGACTTTTTTTTCCAATTTTTTATGAGTTGCTGTCAGTTACACTAATATCCACTTTCTTGTTAATGTCAGTTTATTTTTCCAATTAAAGATTTTCTTTCTTTTTACCAATTTTTCACACCATGAGGTTCTGCCAGTACCATTCTACCTATTTATTATCCTATTTGATCGGCAATATCTATGAGAAATTGTTAGTGTCATGTTATATGTATCTGAGAATTTGTTAATCTAATCTTAAGGTGTTATTATCTTAATATTCTCTTGAAACAATACAAGGGAAGAAATTAAATACAGTATTTATGACCAAATAGGTTTCTCTTGAAAGTGAAGTGTAAACTAAGATAAGGAAACCTATAAAAAAAACAAAATAAAGGTGACACAAATTACAGAAATTATAAGGAAAACTACCAGCAATCACAAACATTAATCTCTGTTCTAACTAGTAAAGTGGCAAAATAATTCTGTATTACAAAAGCTATAAAAACCGGCATAATAATTCTGCATTACAAAAGCTATACAAATCCTAGAGGTACATCAGATTTCTAACATTGTCATAAGAATTCCATATGCTAGCATTCTAGTGAGATTGACAGTGAGACTTCATTCTTTTTCACCTAAGCCTGGATTCAATTCCCTTGTTTCGAAAAGTTGAGAGAGAAAAGAAAGACCGAGGTGCTGCAAGACATAAGATAATTTTCAGTGTATACTCGAATCACGAGCAATAAAGGATACCTAAGAGGAAAGAAATTAACAAACAACTAAACTGAGCACTATATTTTTACTGAATTTCGAAAATGAGTTCATGAGTAATTACATCTAGGGGAGATTTCTGATAAATGATCCTTCCTCAACTTGGACTGTGCGGGAGTAGGTATCGGTCTTCTTCGTGGGGTTTGAACTGCAAAAAGTTACTTCCTACATTCAGTTTCTGAACTTTGCAGATAATGCATAACTAAAAGAGTACCAATAATGAGATAACAAGTCATAAACTACTCAAATATCTACATTTCATCTAATCATATATCTGAAACCTTTAAAGGATAAGCGTATATACCTTGTTCAGGCATGCTCATTCCCTCACTGTAACTGAAACCATCATAAGCATCAAATGCGCAATCCACGTTCAAACCCCTTGTTTGCTCCGATACCAGACCACAACCAACTTCAGTATCATAATCCGCACCCAATACCCGATAAGCTTCTCTACTCTTCTTCCCAAAGTGCAGAAACCTCTTCAACCCTTTTGTACCTGATCCATCAGGAACAAGTACAGGTTTCTCGACGATACCCCATTTCTTTCTCGCTCGAGTAGAAGATGTACTTTCAGTAGGAGAGTCTAGTTGCTGATCGATCCTTGAATTTCGCCCAATTTGCTCCTTAGTAGTCTTTATTGGTGTAAGAGGAGCAACCGAGCTTTTTCTCAATGAAGATGACGAGTTGTTGGTGCCTGAACTCGTGCTTTTGCTTCGAGGGATTTTATTTGGTTGAACTTGAGGCTTTGTGTTCTCCTTTCTGAATTCGCCTCTTAAAGAACGAGACATTAGAGGTTTGGATGAAGGTTTAGGGACTGAAGAGGATGAGGTCCGATAAGTTGAGGATGATGTAGTTCTTGATTTGAGCATTTTTGCGTTGGTGCTGTTGGAAGAACTGTCAGTGGATTGTATGTCTTCGTTGTCTTCAGCAAGCATGGAAACTGTTATCTGTTGGTACAAGTGGAGAATAAGCTGAATTAGAAATAAAACAGACAGAAAACTTTATTGTTTCTTGTATTTCTCGAGGGAAACTCGAACAAAAGATAGAATCAAACACACTTATGTTTTAGGAATTTAACGCCTCTAAACCTCCTAATGCGCAACAGAAACCGTATAGAAAAAGTACACCAAGATTTAACGAGGTTCCGGCAACTGCCTACGTCCTCCGGGAGCGCACACAGATAATTTCTTATTAATTAAACAAAATTACAATTTAGCGACGTATCTCAAAACTGAGATTCTTCAGATAAACACTGTAGCACAGTGTTAATAATCAAAGGGTATGAACGCTTTCAATTTCACTTGAGAACAATATGAATAACCCACTATAAAAACCCCTTTATATTCCTCTCTCCTTAAATTCTTTTTCTTAATCTCCCTCAAAATCAATTGAGCGCTGGAGATGGAACGCTGCTGCGTTCTTGGTCGCGCCAGAAGAAAAATCGGCAGGAGGGGTAAAAGCTACAGCCTCCGAAACCTAGCGGGGGTTTAAATAAGCGATGAGGGGATGAGCTGCGCGACAGCCTGTCGCCAGCGGACCCGCGGACGCCAAAAGAAGGGGGGCGAACGCAAGGTCGAAAGACGCAGAGCTCGAATGGGGGGTCGAACGCAGACTTCCGAAGGGTGCGTTTCGCCAACCCTGCGTTCGCCGAAGTGTGCGTTCACCGAAGGATGGCGTTTCGCCGTCTTCGCCTGCATATCTCCGCCATTTCTCGAGCTCGTCGAGCTCCTCCGCCGTCAGGTGATAACCGGAGCTCCCTGCGGTTCGTCGCCCACGCACCGCCTGCAACATCCATTGAGCTCGCCGGAGCTCTTCGCCGGTGCAGAGGTTGGTATCCCCAAATTAACAAATCTCCACTTGGAGACCAAACGCGGCGCCAAACGGGCTATCTCATTAGCTCATCTCTCCGCGTGTGTGGCTCCGCACTTATCATCTTAGTGCAATGATAGGCAACTAAAGTTGCGCACAACTCCGTTTCTGAACAGTCACCGTCTTTGTTAACATATCTGCCGGATTTACTCCCTGGAATCTTTTCCAGTTTTAAACACGGTCATTTCCAACGGATCTGATGAAGTGATACGAAGCGAATATGCTGCGTGTCTAGAATTGAATGCTTGAATTTTTCGCCAGTGTATCGCACTAGCTGGCTATCCACTGTGTGCAAACATTCTTCTCGCTGTTTGAATTCCCTGCTTGTCAACAAACCCTGAAGCCATATCATCTCTTTACCTTGCTTCAGTCACTGCCAACGTATCAGCTTCTGTAGTGATTAGGCGGTAAGATCTTCTGTACCTGTGCACATCCAACTGACAAGCTTAGTTCGACGCGTGGAATACATCCACGGTGGTGCTTCTTCGTTGTCAACCTTCGCCGCGAAGTCTGCTTAATCGTACCCTGCACTATCACTCCTCCTTACCAAGTTGGCAAACACCTTTGTGTGGTTCCTCGTAGCATATCTCAGAATCACTGACCTGGGCGCTCTCCCAATCCAAGCTTTTCCTGGATTCGAACATTACAACCTGGATCTGGACCCACCTCCCACTGCATCGGCCAATGTCTCGTCTCCGTACAGACCTATTGTCCGTACATCAGTGCCTTCCCGATAGCCTGAGGCGTAAGGAACCTGAGCTCCCATTACTACTCTTTCATCTTCTTTGACTGAGAGAGACTGAATCCTTGCATAGACGAAAACTAGGCTGGCCAAGGGGTGTGCTCACTAGTTTGGCGATCGCCCATATTTGAATCTTGCTCACCGACAGCACGTTGATGCATACTCCGCTCTGAGAAACGCCAAGAACCTCTCTTTCTTATCTCCTCGTGATTTGCATTCCAAGGATTTCTTTCTTCGCTGGACCCAAGTCCTTCATGGTCAAACTCTTTGACAAGCTGCTGCTTCAAGTTTCTGATATCCTCCAATCTGCTCCTGCAACACAGTATAATCAACATACAGCAGTTAGGGATGATATAGCTGGACTGAATCTTTTGAAGTAGCAACAGTTGGTCGGCGTTGCCACTTCTGAAAACTCGCTTTGGCCATGCAAGCCATCAAACTTCTTGTACACATGCCTTCCGCGGGTTGTTTATCATGCGCATTACAAGCTCTTCTTGAGTCTGGCACACCAGGTTCTTCTTTTTCCTCTCTTGAGAAACCACCAAACAACCAATTTCTGCGTTATGCATGTATATCTCCTCGTCTAGATCTCCGTGTAAGAAACGCAGTCTTCAGTCTACTGCTCGAGATGAGAATCTTCCAATTGCCTACATATCTCATTACGCGTCCTGCATAGTATTGCTTTACCACCGGGCGGAAAATATCGCGTGTGTAGTCAAATTCCTTCCTTTCTGCTGGAAGCCTTTGACAACTTAGCCGGGACCTTATATCTTCTGGAACCAGTCTTGCTCCTCTGTTTCACACCGGTACCCTACACCAAATATTTTATGTTCTCTGTGCGAGTGCCTTCTTTACCCGTGGGCAACTCAGCTAGCTTCCAGTCTTGGTTGATAATGAAGAGACTTCATCTCATCTTTCATGGCAAGCTCCCACGTTGCTCGCATCTCACACTGACAAGCTTCATCCAAAGCTTATTCAGGCGCTCCCCACCATCTGTCCGAGTAACAGATATTCATGTATCTCCTGTTGGGTACAGCGAGGACGAGAAATCTTCTTTATATTATCGGAGCTGGCTGGTCGGGCTCCTGCGCACCATCTGTCCAACAGGCTCTTCTTTGACCTGAGGACCCTCTGCATTGGGTCTCTTCGGAGAGGTACTCGGGACTCATCATTGTCATCTACAAATATTGACTCGCTCTCTGGAGTTCATCAGTCTTGCTATGGTCCTTGCTACATCACCTTCTCGGACTTGAATATCCACAGGCTCTGCATCCGGATCACCTTCTTGTTTTCGTGGTCCCAACATGTCGCGTAGCCTGACCAACTCATCTTCACCATAGCCGCATAAAGTGCATTCTTTATTTGCGGATCTAGCTTATTCCTGCCTTGATCACTAATATGCACGGTAGCTAACACAACCGAAACTTTTAGATGTGAGAGTTTTTACCTCCTTTCCGCCACCATACCTCCTCATATGGTATTCTGTCGCTCCAATGAACCGATGGACTTCGGTGATCAAGTAACGCTCTGCTTGACCCTTCTGCCCAGAACTGCTCGGTTAGGCCTGATTGTACTCGAATGCTTCTGCGCTCTCTTCTGTCAACGTGTCGGTTCATTCGCCTCGAGCTACACCATTTTGCTTGAGGCGTGCTCGGGACGGTTCTCTCCATTCTGATCCGTGCTCATAGCAGAACTTCATGAATCGGCTGTCTTCCATACTCACCGCATTGTCACGGTTCACTGAGCGTCTGTTAATTTTCTCAGAATCCGTTTCATTCTCGACCATGGCTTTCCATCTTCTGAAAGCCTCAACACTTCTGACTTGATGTTTCAGAAAGTAGACCCATACTTCCGAGTGTGATCCATCGATAAAAGTTACGCAAGTAGTGTTGGCCCACCAATTGACGGCAGTGGTGGTTGTCCCAACATCTGAGTTGTACGAGCTCTGCTTCTGTCCTGCTGGCGGTTCTGCACCTTGCTCTGAAGCTGACTCTTCTTCTGCTTTCCAAGTATACATTCTCACAATATCCTCTCCACTGACTGCAGTCCTGGGAGTTTCCCCTTTGCTGTGCATGCATTTTCATCCCCTTTTCAATCATATGACCCGAGGTCTTCAGGTGCCACGCTCTTGAGGTTCATTGCTAGGCCAACTGAGACATCGAACAACGTGACCTGCCTGTCATATACAGCGAGGTACCAGTTTCTCTTGCCTTCGGGGCAATCGTCATCTGCGGCCCTTGAGATCTATCCAATCACCTCCATGGAGTTGTGGTGTCTCTCTTCGCAAGCCAATTGGCTACGGCATATTAATTTCTTTCTCAGGTCGGGAATATTCTGACATCCTTCAGTCCCATACTGACCCGTTTCAACTTAATTTTTTCACCACGCCCCTGCCCTTTGCCCCACTATACACACGGTTGATTCATCAACCAAGATATACGTATCCAAGTTTTCCGGGGCTGTATACTTTTCGAAGAATTTCTTTCTGAGAAGTAGCGTGGAAACGCTCCTGATCTAACACCCAAGATTCCTCCTGCTCTCCAAAGCAGTATTCAATGCGTCGTCTCCGTCCTGAAGTGGATGTGACATTCACCTCTGACCTTTGCCTCCTTCTCTTTCTGTGCACTCTTGCGAACTGATTCTTGTAATGCCGCCGTCTTTCCAGATTCCAAGCACTCGATAGCCTTTCGAGCTCGTTGCTTGAGATTCCTTTGATTTGCGGACTTCTTCTTTGATCTACCTCTCGAAGTTTGATTTCCTCGATCCGTTTTTCTGGTTGAATTTCTCTACCTCCTTGACTCTGTATGCAATACTGAGACGGTATGTAGCTGTCACCGTTTCTCTCGTCGGATTCTCTCACTGAGAACCGAATCAACGAAACGTCGATCGAACTCAATTTATTGTTATCCCGACGAGCTACTCACACGCTGACTGTAAGTGTCCAACTCTCTGTAGGAAGACAACAATATCAACGCCCGAACTCCTCATCAAACTCAATCTCAACTGAACTCAATTTGGCGTTGATAACGTATTAAGTTCGATTGAAGATGTTCTGCTACTGACCCGCCTGTGCCGCATTTTTCAGACTTGAAATAATCCGCCGCATTAAATGAACTTATTGCGGCTGATGAGCTTCTCATAACATATTTGAGAGAGCTGCCATAAGACCCGCCTGGTCTTCTCCTTCGCTATGCTGAACGCAAACATTGCGAGTCAACGTCAATCTGATACTCCAGGGCTTGTACTATCTAGAAGGATTCCACTCTTCTGCCCTTCATAGAATCTGGGCTTCTTCCCCATAGTGGTTGATACAGATTTTCTGATACAGATAATCCTCTATCTGCATTTCCAGATACGAATATCTGTATCCATCAATTTCTCAAGTCTCTATTTTTGCCTCATCTGTGGCCATGAGCTCCCACTTGAATTCGTGACATTGTTCGCTAGATCGTTTCACGCTTGATACAGTTTTAGATTTAAGCCTAAACCCCTAATGCAACAGAAACGCTAGTATAGAAAAAATTACACCAAGATTTAACGAGGTCGGCACTGCCCTACGTCCTCGCGGAGCCACACAGATAATTCTTATTAATAACAAGAACATTTACGAATTAGGAGCGTATCTCAAAACTGAGATTTGCTCAATAAAACACTGAGTAACCACGTAGAGGATAAGTAGTGGCCGACAATCCAATAAGCCGGGCGCCAGCGCGCCAGAGGGATGGGATGGAGAGACTGCGGCCATTCAATTTAGAAGAGATAAGAGAAGAGAGAGCGAGCCGGCGAGCGGAGGAGAAACAAAAGAATAAGGCCCACTATAAAAAACCCCTTTTATATCCTCTCCTCTCCTTTGAAATTTTTTCTTAATTCCCCTAAACATCAATTGAGGCTGGCGAGATCTGGAGCTGCTGCGTTCTTGGTCGCCGCCAGAGAAAAATCGGCAGGAGGGTAAAAAGCACAGCCCTCCGAAACCTAGCGGAGGTTTAAATAGCGATGAGGGGATGAGCTTGCGACAGCTGTCTGAGCCAGGACCCAGCGGCGCCAAAGAGGGGGCGAACGCAGAGGTCGGAAAGACGCGAGCTCGAATGGGGCGGTCGAACGCAGACTTCGAAAGGGTGCGTTCGCCCCCAACTCTGCTTTCGCCGAAGTGTGCGTTTCACCGAAGTGATTGGCCGTTCGCGTCTTCCGCCCCTGGCATCATCTCCGCCAATTCTCGAGCTTCGTCGGAGCTTCCTCCGCCGTCGCGTGATAACCGGAGCTCGCCTGCGGTTCGTCGCCCCGCGCCGCAACATTTCCATGAGCTCGCCGGAGCTCTTCGCCGGTGCAGAGGTTGGTATCCACCCCCAAATTAACATTATGAACAAGTGATCAGTGTATCAAAACAAAATTATTGTTGATTCTTCATAATCCATGAAAGGATAGAAAAACATCTGAATCCAAATTTCAATTTATCTGTTAACTCATATAACCACGTTCCATATTTTTGAGTAATTTGATTGAACGACCCTGAAAGAGGAAAAAAAAAAAACTAGTTCTTAATTCCTCCAAGTAATAACTTGAGTTTCCAGCACAAGAAACCAGAGCAATATCGAGAAACGTCGAACCAACATAATCCAAAAAAAATCGTGAATTTTAGTTTATCAAACCCAAACTGTTACCAATTCCTAATAATCCATCAAACAAGTGAAAAGAGATGTATCCGTGTCTCATATTGTCCATCACCCTTATAAGCATGTTCCATAATTTTTAAAATTTTTGATAGCATACATTACAGAAAAATTACTTAATTCCTCGAAGCAATTTGAGGCTCCACATCAAAAATATGGGATGCTAGAGCATCAAGCGAAAATTATTACCTCATAATCATCAGTAATTGAAAACATCTTAAACCAAAATTTCAGTTTATCTATGACCCTTATAACAAATTTTCCATAATTTAGAATACTCAATTTCACAACAAGAGCAACAAAAACTCAACACGAAGAAAAACCACAGTCCACAAATATATACCTGATAATTCTTCGCCATCTGCTCGAGCCTCTCCCACATCCCCCCCATCTCCGCCGCCCTCTCCTCCCTATTCCTCCCCAACTCTTCTCTTCTCCTCGCGCTTCTCTTCTCCATATACCTCTCATACATTCTCCCCCTCTCACAGCCATTCACTGTACTTGGCGCCGCACGATCTGTATCCACGTTAACTCTCCTCTTATGCTCGGCAAATACTCTCTCCAGCTCGTCAGCCTTCAATCTGAGCTGATTCAGGTCTTGATTCATCGTCGACCCTCGAAGCAGCGTTAGTCCTTCTTCGATGCTCTGCAGAGAAAAAGTACGGAGATGACGAGGCAGCGAGGGTCCAAGACCCTTATCACTGTTGTTGTGATGGGTCAGAGGTTCGCAGTAGGAGGAGTTTACGTTGTCGGAGCTGCGTAGTCTTGACAAGCTCGGGGTTTTCTTGGAGCTTGTTTCGAAGAGGTCGATTTTGTCCTTGATGGCGCGGCCGCGGCCGCCTGCCACGTGATGGGAGGCGGAGACGACATGTTTGGGAGCGGACGAGGAGGGCAGAGGTGGGCGACGGCGGATTTGGTTCCGCTGGCTTGAAATTTATAATGAGGAGTCGTTATTATAGTTCTGTTGGAATTCGTAAGGGGTGGGGCCTACTTGCCGTCCCAACGTTGAAGATGGGTTATAGACACTGATATTGATAGACATATGGATTAGCATCTCGTCGGTTGCAGGACAATAGAAGAATATTGATGCAGGACGCTTAACCGACAATATTATGGATGATTCGGACAATCACGAGCTAAATATAAATTTATATATATTATTAATTTTCGCAAAGAAATAATTGTATCTTCCAATCCATAAGGAATTGCCTATCTCGACGGGACGGAGGCAATTAGATTGTCAGATTTTTAAAATCTCATCAGTAATAACCGGTTTTGGCTGAAATCAGAAAATAATTAGCTTTTAGTTTATTTTTAGTAATAAAGTTGGAGTCTATTTAGATTAGGAAATAAATTTAATTTTAGAGTCAAATTATATTAGGAAACAAATTTAATTTTGATTCATGATTTGTTTCCTCTATTACAGTGAGTCTTTTTAGGATAGAATTTGATACTTTCTATTTCTTTGTAATTCTAGTCTTACTAAGGGTCTTATTTGTTTTTGTAATTCTAGTCTTACTAGGAGTCTTATTTGTTTTTGTATTTAAAAAGAATCATGTAACCCCAAAGGAGGATAATAACTTTTGATCAATAAAAATTTATCTTTTCGATATTTTCTTCGTTGATTCGAAGTTCTTCATGGATTCGAATATTGTTCTTTGTGGATTCAGAGAATGCCCTTGGTGGATTCCGAGGCTATCACTTTCGCGTTGCGTCAATTGGTATCAGAGCTTTGTTCCTCCGATCCGATGACAGGTGATGAAGCTTCTTTTTCTCGAACTGAGTTCGACGTGCTGAAGTCTGATGTTAATCAGATGAAGACTATCATAGAACGACTTGCGTCGACGATGGAGTGTCTGAACACGGGAGGAGTTCGAAATCGTGTTGATGGTCGCAAACGACGTGATCCAACTCCGCATGATGAATTCAATAGTGATGACTATGAAGCCTCACGCCGCGGTTATGATCGCAGAGGCCACCAAAGACAGGACAATTATAACACTAGAATATTAAAAATATCATTCTTCAATGGAAAGCTTCATGCTGATGATTTCTTTGATTTGATTGATAGAGTGGATAAGTATTTAGAGTATAAGATAATCCCAGAAGATTGGAAAGTTAAATTAGTGGTCTACAGGCTTAAAGAAAAAATATATGCATAGTGGGATGAAGTACTAATAAATTGATACCATCAAAGGAAGGATCCGGTTCAAACGTGGGCAAAGATGAAAAAATTATTAAGAGACCGTTTCTTACCTTCTAACTATAAGCAATGTCAGGTGTCTTTAAAAGATTCTTTTATCTTAGCCGCTACGGTCCGTCTAGCGAAGAAGGTGGAGCGAGAATTTGAGCAGAACGACATACGACCTTTAACATGGATGTTTTTAGAGAGTTATCAAACTAGTTATGATTATGGGAAAATTAAGAAACCTCAATTCATCTCTGAGAAAGAGTATAGATTTGTGAAGAGCACCGAAGAAGCACCAATAAAGATTTTATCAATTATGTCAATCATAGAACTGAAGTCATTTAAGACAGATATTGCTAAGGAGAAGACTTCTCTATTGGCAAACAACAAGACGCTAACCCCCGGAAAGGAAGATTTTGCCACCATCAAGATTCATTCTGAGGTTCCTGATGTTGATGATGATATGCTAATGAAGATGAATATTCTAAATGATATCGTGTGTGATGTTACACATATTGATATTGCCCCGATGGAGGAGAATGATAAAATAGAGAGCGAGGCAATTGATGGTATGTATGAATTGCTTGGTGGAGGGCTCGAGACAAAGAAGATGAAAGACTTATGTATAGAGTATGAGGGAGAAAATTCTTATTTGGAAGCAATGATCATCAATAACTTCAATAACGATGAGATGATACCTCCGACACTAGAATATGGGAAGCAACAGAGAAAATATTTGGAAGAGTTTTTCATGTCAACTACAGAGCCACATGCTACCAATTACATACACATGTTATGGAAAAGATTCATAGACAAGTTTGATACAGAAGAAGTCCTAGTAAAAGAGATAAAAGAACAAATGGAGAAAATCAACGCTAAATACAAGGCTGATGCTGATCGTTGTAAGAGAAGGAAAATATTTAATAATGAAGCTACTATTCTAACAAATATAAGCTCGGGGTCGAGCTTCTTTCAACAAGGGAGGACTAATGCATGATGCTTAACAGACAATTTCATGGATGATTCGGACAATCACGAGCTCAATACAATTTTATACGTATTATTGACTTCCGCAAAGAAGCAATCATATCTTCTAACCCAGAAGGCAGATTCTGACATATTATATATGTAAATCGTCTATCTCGACGAGACGGAGCCAACTAGATTGTCAGGTTTTTAAAATCTCATCAGTAATACCCAGTTTTGACTAAAATCCGAAAATAATTAGCTTTTAGTTTATTTTTAGTAATAAACCTGGAGCTTATTTAGATTAGGAAATAAATTAATCAAATTAGATTAGGAAACAAATTCAATTTTGATGCATGATTTGTTTCCTCTATTATAGGGAGTCTTTTTAGGATAGAGTTTGATACTTTCTATTTCTTTGTAATTCTAGTCTTAATAGGAGTCTTATTTGTTTTTCTATATAACTTTTGATCAATAAAATTTTTTCTTTCGATATTTTCTTCGTGGATTCGAAAATTATTCTTTGTGAATTCAGAGAACGCCCTTGGTGGATTCCGAGGCTATATATCACTTCCGCGTTGCGTCAAATATATAAAGAAATTAAAACTTATTCGTAGTCTCGCTTTTCGTAGGTTGCGAACTATTTATCATAATGAATCTTATTATCCTAATTATATTAACATCCTAACTCTATCCAATCACATGAAGCTATACAAGGAATCAAAGATACGATCTTGACACGCACCTAGTTACTGATTAGATCGGAATTTTGGTTTGGCATGTTTTCTTTTTTACATATTTTACTTACATTACCCTTCTGAATAATTGATTCTTTCTCAGACAAATGTGCATTAGTAAGAATGATCTATAGATTTAGGGACTACAGAATAGAACGAATAGAGAGATGTGTTGTGCAATATCCTTAATCAATTTATTTTTAAGTTGGTTTTCCAACAAAATAGGAGATTAATTAATCCATAAACACATAACTAAAACTTTTGATAGATACCTATGCTGAAAAGTAGACAATAAGAAGGATCAAAACTTTTCTGAAATGGTCAAGAAAACGACTCAAATAAACACAAATGGTTATGAGGGTTGAGTAGTTGAAATTATCCTTGATGTTTCATGAACTCAATCTTTATCCAACAAATGTATGAAATTGAACAAGTCAGGTCAAATGAAGTTAATTAAGGGACATAATATTTCCAAACCCCAACTTTTGCAGGGATCGAAAATATAGAAAAGAGGTAGTCCAGTTCAAAGACCACCAACAAAATAAACATTCAGCCATTCAAACCTTCTAATGAATCAAATAACGGCATATTCACCCAAAAAAAACAACAGCATAAAAATTTGACTGTAAAACCGAAAAAACTTAACTTTCAAAATGTAATTCAGATTGGCTACTATTAATACCTTCAAAGTTCCATACTTAGACCCAGGATTCTGTATATCCATTATTCCATTTTTCATTCAATTAATAAAATTTCATAAATTTGTCTCCATCTTTTTGAAGGACAAATTTTCAAAACAGACTCATTTACGAAAATATTCCCCAAAAACGACTCATTTCAACAATATTCGTCAAAACCGACCTAGTTTCAGTCGTCGGGCTGTCGTGTTGTGTCGTGTCGTGTCGTGCCTGATGGCTGAAACTGGATCGATTTTGACAAATATTGATGAAACAGATTGTTTTTTGAAAATATTTTTGAAAAAGTGACGGTTTTAAAAATTTGTCCATTTTTTAATGTTATGAAGAGTTCTACCGTAAAAAGTGTTAAGAACTTCTACTTGTGGATGTTTATTTGCTTATATAACTAGAACTATAAGAAGGATGTGGTCATGTTGTGATTCAAAGAATGTTCCAGCAAATGCGTTCAGTCAAATAGTAGACAACTTCAAGTCTCCTCCATTTTAGTAACGACTACCAATTTGATTAAGTATGAAAGAGTAAACTAAAGAAGCCATAAATCAATAACTAATTCCATCAAACCTAGAAAATGGACCGATAGGATGCGAACACGGAAATTTTTTGGATGCTAATTTGACCCAAGACACGTTGACCAGCCACCCAACGTTGACTCAGCCTTTGGTGGGCTGGTGGAATGATTGGACCCACAAATCACCTGCACAAGGATCATATAGAAGTCAAGGATCATCTAGAAGTCAAAATGTCATCAGTCATGGATCCAACAAATTGAATCCCCTTCTTAATGAGGGATACTCTGTACAAAAGCTAGTGGATACGCATTTTTATTTCATTATATACATTTACAAACAAAGCTAAAATGCTTGTTTACTTGACCCCGCTAAGGGACTATTTGGTTTGTGGATTGCATATTAATGCATCATAATAGATTTTAAATTTTTCATATTTAAAATCTTGTTTGTTTCTAATGAATATTAAAGAGAATTCGCATGAGAGATAAAATCTAACCAAAAGTTTGTTTGGTTGAACATCAACTTTGTTGAGGATATGTGACTAAACTCACAAATCCGGTTGAAATCAACATAATTTTTAGGATTTTTATTTGATGGACATATGTTATGAGGCGATCTGAAATCCGTAATATAAAAAAATACCGAACAATCAAGTAGTTGTTAAAAAAAACACGACCCTTAACTTGTAGATCTCATTTTTTTTTAAACGTAAGATTGCTAAATACACAGAAACAAATAGCCTCTAACTTGATGATACGAGATTAATGTTTTTAAGTATGGTTTTAGTGCAAACAATTACTGTGTTGACCCTCGGAATCCATTCTTCGACCTATTGCATAAGGATAGATTCCAGACATGAGCTTAGGAGTTTTGAATTTCATCTTTGTTTTTGGCTATTGGTATCTATTCATCTACTCCTCTACACAAATGGAAGAACCTAAGATTCACTATTCATGCTAGAGCAAATGCTACGGTAGCATCTAATGTAGAAAAAATAAAATTGGATACTATGAATTTTTTGAAAAAATATTACTGTAGCACAAAGGAATATTGTAGGCGGGATACTCAAAAAATTCAAAAACCGTAGCAGTTAAAAACCGGGATTACTGTAGCGGGGAAAAAAATATATCGTGCTTTGCACAGTGTTCACACTAGTCTATAATAACGGGAGGTTCCAAGATTCACAATTCATGCTACAGTAAATGCTATAACAAATACTGTAGCATTGTTACTGTAGCATAAACAGGAGGATCCAAAATTCGGTATCCATGCTACAATAAATTACTGTAGCATTATTACAGTAGCACAACGAGAGCTATAGTGTTTAAAAACATCACTGTAGCACTCTTACTGTATCTCAGCGGGATACTGTAGTATTTAAAAAATATCAGAGTAGCACTTACAAAAAACTGTATTTAAATATAGAATTACTCTAGCAAAAATAAAAAAAATGAAGGTCGGTCCTTACACTAAGTTTGTCTATAATAAAAGAAGAATAGGCTGTAGCAAATTCTATCTTTTTTTTTTGAAAGAAATATTTGAGCATCTTTGTCAAACTGTAACCTGTTTCGTTGCCAATCAAATATTGAAAAATAAAAATTTGGTAGTACTTTTAAGGGAAAAATTAGCATGGTCCCTCTCTCTCTCATCTCCTACATGGCGTTTGAAGACACCATATAATGCCAAATCCTAAAACCCCAACGGCAAATTTTCATAATTACACAGCAAATCCTTCATCATCACCCTCTCACGAGCTCCACCCCCCCTCAAATCTCCATACAATGAACCCCTCCAAAATCCTCATCATCACCTTCCAAATTCTCCAGCCGAGCCCCCGACCGTTTCACTCCGAAGCGGTGCCACGTGTCCCTTCTTCCTCGTTGGACTCTCAGCAAAGAGCCAAAATTTCGTTTCAAATGAAACCCTCCCCCCGTCTCACTCGGAAAAGACCACTCCCTTTTCGAAACCCTAACCCCAGCGAGGAGGCGAAATGGCGAGGATCAAGACCTACCTCTGGAAAGGCGGCCCCTCGAGGGTCGTCGTTCGACCGTCGTCGTTTTTTGCCTCGGGCAGCGGGAGCTCAGCCGGCAAGTCTGGCGGGAAATGTCGGTGGAGGGAGGACGATCCTCGGATTAGCACGGTGACGAAGCTCCGGCGCCGAGAGATCGGGGAGCGGCCGAGGGTTTCTCGGGGGATTGGTTTCTACGGGCCTGAGAGGCTCGGGATCATCCAGCTTCAGGTTTGGACTCCGGTTATTTTTATTTATTTAATTATTTATTTATTATCAGTTGTTGAGGTTGGCGGCATTGAGTGATTCTGTACAAAGTTAGTTCTTTGATATCTTAAGCGTGGCTTGCAATGTAGGGTAGTTGATTGAATGGAGAACGTCTGGTTGTGTTGTTTATCTTCTGCAATTTTGACGGGTTAATAATGGAGTAATGATCATGACCATACTACAAAGCTTATATTATTTTTGTACTACCACAAATAAAAGGGTGGGGACCACGATGACATGCAATTTTTTGTTGATAATGTGGATAGCACAAAAGTAGTATGTAACTTATAGTGCGATCATCATTTTCCTTGATAATGTGGATAGCTGGAAAGGAAAACTTCTCTCTGCTTTCTTTTTGGGATTGAGTAGCTTTCGGCTGTTCATTCAAGCATATGTTCCGTGCTTGGATTGAAAACGTAAGAACTCGTTATATGTATATGATGGGTAGTTTTCCGTGGAGAACTCCTTGGGGGTAGTTTCGGGAGAACGCCATCGTAGGTTATCCAGGGATGACCGATACCAATCATTTTGTTTGATGCATCCAAATTGTCCATGAATGAGCGATGAAGTGGTTTTGAAACTTCTCACTCTCATAAGGTGGTTGAAAAAAAACACACACACATGATTTTAGCCATATTAAAAAGTTATCACTTGATGCATTGAGTTTCCATCTTTTATTCTTAGACCAGTTTGGTTGAGCAGATCAAGAACAAACATAGTGAATCGGAGTGGTTTGTTGGCCACAAAATGTAATAATAACACAGATCCGTGAAGAGAGAACAAAGAAAACAACCACAAAAATGGAGATTTAGCAAGGTTCAGCATCAATGTAAAGTTTTTGATGTGCGGCAAAAGAAGCATAATTAAGGCTTCATGTGGTGGAGCTTGATGGAAGGAAGAGATCAAGGGTATGATTGAAGTTATTTAGAATGTAATAAAAGCTTTTTGAAGTAAACCTGCCTCTGTTAGTGGGACTATCATTCTAGCTTGTTGATTACATCTTTGTAAAGATTCTAAAGAAGGTATGAGTCTTCTTAAAGGACTGCATAGTATTCGATCAAAATATTCCAGATCTTTCCTTCTAGTTCATCAATTGCTTCAAATATTCTCGCTCATGAGAAATGATGGAATTAAAGCAAGAGTGATCAATATCTCTCTTCCTATTTGAACTCGACTTGATAGATTCAAGGAAGATAGTCCCATATGGCAGTGACCCGTTGAGGGTATATTTTATGTTAAAAAACTTATGGATTTATCAACGATGGTGAGATTAGAAGTGCTATAAGAAAATTCATATGGAGGATTAGCATACCACTTAAAGGTTAGATTCTTTTAATGGTTGGCATCTGTGAATGCAATCCTCACGAGAGACAACCTTATTAAGAGAAAGTAGATAACACGTACTTTATATGATATCAATAGAGTCAGTTGATAATGCATTGCAAATCTCTGCGTTATTATGGGAGTTATTCCTTAATGCATCTAGAATTTACATTTAACCAAATACATTTACAAATCTTTTCTTAGATGGCATGCTTATGCAATCAACAAAGAACTTAGGAGAATATGGGTTATCAGGATGATCGTTATAATATAGGTTATATAAAGTGAATAGAATTTTGAACAATATTTTAGATCTTCTATAAAGTGCTATCATATTGTGCTATCACTTATCTTTCACTGGTCCAAGTTGCTTACAGGAAAGGAAAGGGATTATGCTATCAAGACTATTAGAAGACAACAATTTACTCGGATTTGGATGCTACCATTGCTGATGATGTCAGGACAAAGGAAATACTAATACAGAGGACGTTAATGCTTACTTATAGTTAATATTCACATAGATTTTTGGTTGTTGTTTGCATGGCAGAAGTTTTTTTGGCTATCTTTTCTCGGATATTTTGTTTCAGGCTGGAATGTTTATTCATCCTATGACATATGTTTTCATTTATGCATTTTTCCAAGTTTTGGAGGCATTACGTTTTGTAGCTACATGTAGATGGTTTATTAAACCCTTATTAACGAAATGGCAGTGTTATGCTCTCCCGTATTCCCAAAAATGGCATGAGTATGATGGAATTGTAGTAATAAGGATGATGTAACCAAAACCTCTTTACCAGCATGGATGAGTGATGATTTCTTACTCCAAGTTCTTTTTCAAGCTACACACTAAGATCTTTTATGTGTGAAAATATTTCTTACATTATATAAAATATCTAAGTGCGGTCAAATAATTTATTATTTTAAATTAAACATATATGAGATTGAGTATAGTATGCACACGTGCCCATCACGCTTTCTCTTATGTATGTCCATTTTGTGTTTGTGTTATATATATTGTATGTTTATTTATGAGACTCTCTTCCGTCCCAGTGTTATATTATTAACTATAGTGTAACAAAAAATTCCATTGTTGGTCCACTTATTACTTAATTATAGTTTTATAAGGATTAATTACATACTAGTACCTTGAGGTATGGTGTAACTACTTGTGCGTCCTTAAAGTCTACATATTTGTACGAATGACCTTGGAATTGTAATTGTGATAACAAAGGTGACCCTGGTGCCTAGACAACAAGCAACTCTTAGGGTTACTTGTGTAAATACTATCAATAATCTCAGGGACCCTTATAATACAAAGACTCGGTCACCGGTGTAATTACATCAATTAATCCTTTTATAAGCCATCACAATGATTTGATAATAAGAAAACTTTTTTCATTAAATACTAACATTCATCTTTAGCCAAACCTAGATAGAAGAACCAATCTTTCCAATATCAATCTCAGAAATCAGTAAGTCGTCTCATACCCAATTCTGCCTCTATATCCTATCACCCAACCATATTCTTGCACACCTTTAACTATAGCCTTCAAGCCTAATGCATCTATCCTCCAAATTAAACAATTAGTATTATCACATGGAAGATGGTCCAAAATAAGGATATAAGATTTGGGAGGTTAGCAAAAGGCCAATTTGGTTGAAAATGTTACCATTGTTCTTAAGCTTAGTAAGAAATATAGTGAATAACATAGTTAATTCATTTTTTCAGTTATGTTAACTAATAACATCACAAAATTAAAACTTTTCTTGTCTATACCTACTCTGATTTTAATGCTTAAAATGATGGTTCAACATGTTTGGAAAATTACGAACTAGACAAAATAACTTTAGTGTCATCATAATTAGAGGAAACAGAATTTAATGCTATCCTAAACTTATATAGAAACAAATACTTGGATTTATTTTATTAAAAGTGCTTGTATAGGATATCTAATTACTTAGTGTGAAAAACAAACCTTGTAGTAATAAATTCCAAGTTTCCAACTATGATTTTAGATGTTGTAGTAATAGTTCCCGCACTCCCTCATAGTATATATTTCCTTTTTCCTCACTTCTATTGTGATGTTGCACCATAGTTATTGTCGGGCATATGGGACGCTATGGTGATCTGTAACCTAGGTTCATCCATCACGGAACAATGAACTTTAGCTAATTGGATCATAGTGGAACATGACCTAGTTCGCCAAATTTCTGAGACCCGATTTAGAATTTAAACCAGTTAAAATTTTTATAAGAAAAACTTTTTAAGAGAGAAAAACAACAAAAAGCATGAGATATTACGCAAATAAACTATGCATGCCTTGATTGTAACATGATTCTCGAGGTTCTTTTATCACTATTAATATCAAGTAATATATTTCTTAAATTTGTCTCTTATTGTTATAGAACCTAACGTTCCCATATTTAAAAACTGAACCTAATGCATGCCATGTTTCTTGCATACCATATAAACCCACCTTCTCATCCTCGCAAATAAGTGTCTTATTATGCTTCTATTTCTATCTCATGAATCAGAGAATTATTACGCTCATGTTTCTATCTGATGAATCGTACAACTAAGGATGCACCAACTAACTAGGTTCTGGTGTTCAAGCAAAATGTGTTCAAGCAAAACTGAACCTAATATTCCTATACTTAAAAACTGAACCTAAAGCATGTCACGTTTCTTGCATACCATATAAGCTCACGTTATTGTCCTTGCAAATAAGTGGCTTATTACACTCCTCTTATCTCATGAATCAGATAAGTATTACACTCATGTTTCTATCTCATGAATTGTACAACTATGGATGCACCAACTAACTAGGTTCGGGTGTTCAAGCAAAACGCCAGTAGGATTTTTGGTTCGAACTAGTCAGGAGCCAATAGCGTCCATGCGGAGTCTCAGGGTCCTTTCCTTCTGCTCTCTTCCAATGCTAAAGTATCTTCCTAGTGAAATACAATCGTGCAGTTTTTTCAGCATATGTTGTTAAGGTCATCCTTACTTTCATATTCCTTACCTTAGGGATAATAACTGTGAAATTGTCATGGCTCTTCGCATTTGTTAATTATCATTCTTGTCTTGGTTACCTTGTATTCTATTTATGCATCGTTATATTGCGAGATTAGCATAGACCCCGATGTCTTGGGTCTATGGTCTTGCAAAAAGGTTACCCAATTTTCTTGATTAGTTTGCTCTCTTAGAGAGATGTCTACAATCTGACACATCATTTTGACCTTCTAGGTTACTCGATAAATTTCCTCACATGCATTTTTTATTCTAAGGCCATACTTAGACCCATATCAATATCCAAAGGATTGTTCTCTTTCAATTATTGTTTCTTATTTATATCCTTCGAGAATCCTTTGCCTATCCTAATTGACAATTGAAAGGGTAAAGTTGCATGTCCTCTACTGAATTCTGTGTGTTTGAGTTGTGATGTGCTCATGTACCCATGGGTCTTTTCATTGTTTGTCCATTCTGTATTACATGCTTTATTAGCATTAATGAACAAATTTTCTCAATATATTGTAATGTTTTGGATACTTATTAACATCTACTGATTTAGAGTTGAATTTTTTTGAAGCAAAAAAAAGGGTCATATTGCTAGTACATATTTGAATGATAAATTTTTCCTTAAGGATAATGAAATTCATGTTAAGGCTTACAGGGTGATTATTGATGATAAACTTGTAACGGTTATAACATGACAAATATATTTCCTACAATTTCACCATAACTTTGGATTGTGGGCAAAGCTAAACTTTCAGCTCCAAGATTCAAGTTCAACGTGCATGTATGAGTATTATAATAATTCAAATAACAAAGGGTGCAAGTAAAATTCAGCCAAATGAAACCTCCTTCTGTTGGCAGCGAAACTTTTTGATGGAAGCGGATGTGTAACCAAAAATAGCATACGTGAAAATCAACAGTCCCTTCTTGAGCTTCTCCCTTTCCGCCTCATCCTATTAATTGGAATCAAAAACAACAAACAAAAATAAAATGGGCTTTGCTAGAGTCAAGATAAAAGAAACAAAATCAATAATGGGTTTTCTAGAGGATCTGAGAAACAGAAAATTCAAAATGAGTGTACCAATATGCATTGTTCTTCCTTCTTCGTCGTCTTCTTATAATCAGCATTCATTGTTTCGCCGAATTTTTTTAGGAATAGTGCAGGAGAGCGAGGTTCATTTATGACAAACCCCTATAGATATAGGGATAAATCACTAGGTTTTTTGTAAAAAGAAATCCCAATAATACAGCAATACTTCATATTTTACTTTTAACCCCCTATAACTTACAATATTTATTCCTTTATTGTAACTTTGGTACATTTATAAGGGATTAACCAGAAAACATAAGGTTAATAGTTTTTTCGAAGAAGAAAAAACCCCGAAATTTTACAGCTATACAAGTTGCTAGTTGTCTATCTGATTTTTTTTCTCCCAATTGATCCCCTATTACTTGCAGTATGTTGTTACCTTAGGGATGATTATCTTTGTTACCCTGTATTCTCTTTACGCGTCGTATTGCTAGCTCATCATATGCCCTGACTTGGGCCTTTCGTCTCGCAGAAGAGCTACCTAACTTTCTTGGTTAGTTTGCCCGCTTAGAGATTTGTCAACGTGGTCATTTTGATCTTTCAGGTTATTCGAAGAATTTCCTCACATGTAATTCTGATTCAGGGGTCATACTTAGGCCCATATCAATATCCAAAGGATTGTTCTCTTTCAATTACCGTTTTCTACTTAAACTCTTCGAGAATCATCTTTTTCTAATGCCGCCAGATAATTTGAAGGATAAAGTTGCATGCCCTGTCCTGAATTTTGTTTGTTTCAACTGGGGAATGCTCATGGACCCATGGATCTTGTCATTTTTTATCCATTCAGGATTACATGCTTTATTAGCATTAACGAACAAATTTTCTCAATCTATCGCCATATTTTGGATCCTTATTAACATCTACTGATTTAGAGCTTTTTTTCATTCCTATTTGAATGATAAACTTTTCCTTATGGATAATGGAATTCATGTTAAGACTTACAGCGGGGGGTTTTAAATAAATTTGTAAATGTCATAAGCATATTCCCTACGATCTCACGACAACTTTGGATTTTGGTATACTGGCAGATACTTTAGGTTGTTAGCAAAGCCAGTCTTTCAGCTCCAAAGTCCAAGTTCAGCGTGCATGTATTTAAGGTGTAATAAATCAAATATATAAGTCAATAGTTTAAAGTTTTACGATTATATATGTAGTTTAAAGAGAACCCTTACTATAGAGGTTTTGGTGTAGTGACAAAGACATCAACAATATCATTTCAGTTTTTGTTATTGTATAAACTTTTGTTTTCTATCACGCATTTGTGTCGAGGATATCGGAGTTTGATTGACTTTTTTGTTTGGCTGAATTTGTGCTCCAGCAATGATGATTTCCTTATTAGAAAGCTTATTGCATTTCTTCTCTCCATAGTCTTTGTTTGGCTAAGTAATATTTTTGTTATTTAGAGTATTGATATACCATTTGTTATTCAGTTGAACAATGCAAGCTTCACAATAGAAGCAAAACCTGTTAATCAGCATAAATTTGTAACAGAATGGTTCTTGAGACTTGCATTTTCATTTCCAATTAATCTATTTTCTTTCAATTCCTATGGCTCAGAAACTATATGACTGTTTTCCTCGTTAATCATATTGCAGATAAGTGTAGTCATTTTTATCATTTTCTTGTAGGTGAAGCACTCTTGATTTTCTCTGTAAATCATGAAAGCTGCAATTTTTTTATAAGGATATGGTAAAATACACATGTTATGTTAACTTATTTACCTTATTACATGTCTCCTTGGGTTGATTGTTTTCGACATATGAAATTCATTATTTAAACTGTAATTGAAATGTCATCTTCAGTTCAGAGAATGCTCCATCAAACTAAGTGTCATTTTACTTTCTTGGTGTGCAGGAAGAGTTTGATATGTATGATGACAATATAGAATTTTTTGACATAAGTGTTGTCGATTTAGAACATCTTAGAAACTTACAACGCCTCAAGAAAAGATCTAAAATTGCGGAGATTGTTGCAGTAAAAGACATAATATTTGTGCTTTCTGAGTCCGGCCGTGGTGCTGCGTTTAGCCTACGTCAGTCTGTTGCCTTCTCTAGTTTTCTGGATATCCTTTTGTTTGTTCTAATTGTTATTTGATACCTTTTCTTCTGTGTTGACAGAAACCAAGGAGCATTTATGCTTCTTGAACACAAGTCCTGATCAAGTTATTAAAGGCATATTTTATAATAAGTGTAACGAGTCACTTATCACAACATGGAAACAAGCACCAGACCCATGCATGGATTTGGCCCGGTTCCAGTTCAGATCATACAGATGCAACTCAACGCCTATGGAGTAAGACTATTGACGTGTTCAATAATCATATTTTATTTTAGTGAAGTAGCATAGGTGTTTTTCTTTATGCCAGTTCTTAAAATTTATGGCTACTCTGTCTGCATCTTTGTTAGAATATAACTGGAAGTGTATTTAAATTAACAGATGTGTATAGGAATAATATCTAGAGGTTGGTCCATTATAAACCCAAGAATAATGTAGCTGTCAGGATTTGATGTGAAAATTTTCCTAAGTACTGTCAACTTTATCTTTTTTATTATGAAAGAAAGCTGTTACTTGGAGTCATAATATACGAGTCTCAAGGCCAGTGTCTTGAGCATATGATACATGACCTTTCCAACATTCAAAAGAAATTCTATACCATAAATAAATGTACATGGACGCATATATTTGTATCTCAATTTAAATATATGTGTAATGAACAACGGAGAAATTATGCTTGTGTCTATGTGTATATGATGTTGAAAACCATAATCTGAACGGTAATGTCTCAGGTATATTGGGGGAAATCAATTGGATCTTGGATTTCCTCTTTTCGGGACAGAGGCAAATCTGCATAGCTACGTTGAGCTTGATGATATAAATGCAAAGGCACTAACTTATGACGTCAGCCACCGGTAAGCATCTTTCCGTGTTTGTCCTCCTAGGAATTCTCATGATCTTTTCAACAAAATTTATGAAGAAGTTTGTTTCTCAATCACTTGCAGCATGTACAAGGTGTATGAATTGAAGAACTATTCTCTTTTGTACTCTATATCTAATTCTGACTTAAGTATCGGGTCTATTAAGATGAGGTTAGATTTTTTTTTCTGCCTGCATTAGTTTAAGTTAACCATTATTTTATTTGGTTACTAAAGATTATTTCTAATGTCAGTCCTGGTATCTTGCAAGTGGTATATCGTTCGAGTTGTCCTTTCTTGAAACTTAAGCTACTCTCTAGTGAAGATGGAAAGGAACTTAAATCTTTCAGACTAGAGTTGCACCCAGAAAAGAGTATTGAGTTCGTGAAGCACTTAGATGAGAAGGTCATCATCAAACAAGAAGAGGAGAATCTCCAGATTCTTGACGTAAGCTTCTTCACAACGTAATACTGTCAGAAATGGGAAATTTTCTACAGTATTTTTCTTTCCTAAAATTATTTTCATTCTGTACTCTCCAGTTATCAGTTGACTTTTTCTCAAAGCATAACTATTCCAGACTACACTCAACTTTCTTCTATGATTATGTATCCGTATTTTACTGGTCAACGGTCAATTTTGTTCTTCAAAAGAACAAAATGTTCAATGATGTTAGTTGGCACAGCTGCAGCTTGTTAGCATGAAAAGCATTCAAGTGAGGTAAATGCACACTCTATTATTATAGTGACATGTTAGCACCGGAAATGCATAGGAGTAGTAAAATTGATTATCCAGTCTTTACTATGTTAATCAACTAAGTCAACTGGCTTGTAACACCGAATAACAAATTTACACTAAAACCATTTATACCGAGTCAAATGATCCATAAATTTCACATTCTGACGTTCTTGGTTTTCATCATTGCTTAAATAAAATTCATGTTATGAAGGTTTTTGAGCAGGTGAGGACCTTGGAGATTGTTGATGCAAACCATAACAGATTTATAGACGATATCTGCTTGTTGCATGGAAGGCAAATCTTTCTGACTTTTTCCGGAAGGAAAGTCAATGTGTGGAACTGCGAGGGAAAGCTTATTACTGAATTTGAAGACCACGATCTCTGGTACCCAAAGAATAATTTCAACAAGTACTACGTCAGTAGCGATGGGGACGTAATCATATCCTACTGCATGCCAAAAGGAGGTAACTTGAATTGCTTTGTAAAGATTCAGGCCAAAGTTTTGTTTTAATCGCGGATACCCTGTAGTATGGTTTTTTGGAATACACCTCTAGTCTTGTCGTTACATATAGGCCCTCGAGTGATTTTTCTCTCTCTTTTACTCTTTTACTCTCAGGGTGTCTACTTTTCAAAAAACAACTCTTTCTCTGAGGGTAAAAGAGTCAAAACAAATCGGGGAAGGACGGGGGTTCCATCTGCAACAATAAAACTAGAGTGGTAGTCAAGTTCAAAATACTGATAATATAGGGGCTTTAACCGCAACTAACCCCGAAGTTACATAGAGTACTTACAATTTGGGTGAAATCTTTGCAGACTTACGTCCTGCAGTCCATTTCAGTAGCATCCACACCGGGAAGCGCATTGCTAAAGTTACTGCTAGCAATCCCAGGCTCGATATCGACCCTACGGGAAGTGATGATGGTAATTATACCTTTATTCAAAGCTTGATGGCGGAGGCGCTTGAAAATGTGACTGCCATCTTCTATGACGAGGAACAGGACATTCTGTACACCGGCAACAATAAAGGTTTGGTCCATGCCTGGCACAGCTAGACAAAACACCAACTTTAGTTTATTATCAGGGTCAAATATCTGCCATATATTAATAAGCTTGTTGTTTGTAACTTCTTTATGATTAACTTAGACATCATATCCTCTTTTAATAAAGTTTCAGCAAGCATTTTCATTTATGTTAAACATCTGTTCTCTCAGAGATTGGCTTCCGTATGGATTCTGTGCGTATTATATGCATGTACAGCTTTCAAAATGTTGTCAAAAGTTTAGTTTTGTTCGGAGATGTAGATATGCTTCTCTTTTATTTAATTTGTTATCTTCAGCGAATGATCCTCTTTTTTTTTTTTTGTAATATGTCAAAGCTTTACCATCTTCGCAACGATCATATACATATGATTTGATATGAGGCAGCCTATCCTTCAAAAAAGTAGGATTTAGGGCCGTAAAGCTCGGCCTCGGGTATTCCCAAAAATTAAATTTATGTGTGGGTCTTCTTCAAGGTAGTCGATTCCGAGACCTTGAATCACTACTTAAAGGTAGCTTGTCAACTCAGCTAGATCCTTTTAAGTAGAGACATACTTGCGACAGTAATTAAGTAGAAGCTATCTATTAGGTAGCTTGCCAACTCTTTTTTTTTATTGTAATTTTTTAAAAAACTTCCGGCAACAACCAGAATCAGGAAGATACGACTACCTCTAATGATATTTTATGTCCCAGCTCTGTTTCGCTTGTGGCATTATTGAAGAAGAAGAATTGGTATTTTCTCTTGTATCACTTAATCATCATAAGGAAAACCCTGATCATTTAATCATGAGGGAATTATGAATTCAGAAATTGGAAAAAATGACTTGCAGTAATAGTATGTGTGTTAAAATCCGCAAACTTGAAGATATGAGATTAAAATTTTAATATATGATTTTAGTGCTAAGAACCGTGGTAGTATTTGCTCCAACCGAAGTGGTAGCAAATTCTGTAGGTTTATTTTCCCGAAAAAGAAATTTTGTTTAATCATTCCCAACTAGATCATGTTGCCAAATCAAATATTTCAAATCAAAATTGGTAGTTATTATTTGCAATTATGCCCTTAACTCATTGGTATTTACAGAAATACCCTCTAAATCTCACTATTTGCAAAGCCACCCCTCAAATCATCAATTTTAGAAAAAATTACCCTCAAAGAAATTAATCATTAACTTTGATAAATTAATTTTTAATCACAATGTAAAAATTGTCCACAAAATAGTAAAATTTTTGGCTCCGAGTTGATGATTTGTTGATTTTAAGGGTATTTTTTCACGAAGTAGATGATTTGTGGTGTAATTTTGCAAATACTAAGATTTGAGGGTATCAAGCAAATATCCATGATATAAGGACTATACACGCAAATAGCCCATCCTAAAAACCCCTACAGCAAATTTTCCTCCTCCTTGTACACCAAAATCCTTCATCATACTCCTCTCACGAGTTCCATCCTCCTCAAATCTCCATACAACGAACCCCCTCCAAAATCCTCATCATTACTGTTGCTCTCCGAAGCGGTGCCACGTGTCCCTTCTTCCTCGTCGGACTCTCTGCAAGGAGCCAAGGGGCTGTTTGGATCGGGTATTTTGAAGGAAAATTGGCAGATTTTAGGGGAAAACTGTCAAAAAGCCGACAAATTGGCAGCTTTCCCTCTCCTTTCCCCTTCAAAATACCCGATCCAAACAGGCTCCAAACTTCGTTTCAAATGAAACGCTCCCACCTTTCACTCGAAAAATATCACATATTATATAAGAACAAGGAACAACATGACCTAAGAGCATGGGCAGCAAGCTCCCAAGCTTGCTCTCAGCTCCGACGTGGACACCTCCTCCGATTTAGCCCCCTCCAACAGCCTCCGAAGCTCTCCCAACCTGCTCTCAAGCGATGACGTGGAGGTGGAGAGCTTCGGAGCTCCCAAGCTGCCGGATTTTAACAAAACCCCCCCTCCAACAATACACCTTCGCAGATCTGCCCAAAAAGAAGCAAAAATCCAACGGGAGATGAAGAGGCGCCGGAGATGTGGAAGAGGAGGCTTCGGACTGGGGGAGAAGATGAGGCCGCCGACTGGGAAGAAGACGAGGTTGAGGCCTCCGACTGGGGAAGAAGACGAGGTTCGCGGAGATGAGGCCTCCGACTGGGAAGAAGACGAGGTTGTTTGAGGCCTCCGACTGGGGGAGAAGATGAGGCCTTCGACTGGGGTTGGGATTTAGGGATTTGGGGTTGGGATTTGGGGAGAAGATGAGTGTTTTGAGTTTATTTTAATCGGCTGAGTTGTGTCACTGTTTGAGGTTGAGGTCGAGGTGGGGATTTCAATTCGTTGTAAAATTTACCGATGTATAAAAATTGAGCCGTTGTAAAATCATGTCGTTGAAAATTTTACCGTTGTATAAAGATTTTACCGTTGTACAAAATTTTCTATAAATTCGTTGGACTTCACTACACAACTCATTCCACACAACTCTCTCATAAAAAAAATTTTATATTTTCCTATCAAATTACAAATCTTATGGATCCCTCCCAAAACAACTACTATTCGCATCTCCTTACCGGTGAAGGATCGACCTTATACTCGCCGTTCTATACAGAAGTCGTAGAAGAAGGTCATCCCATCGAGTTATCGCAATCCGCAACACAACAAGTGTCATCCAAGAAAACACCGACCACAAAGAAGAAGAAGGCTTACACGCGGTCCGAAAATTGGACTGTCCACGAGGATAAGCTTCTTGTGTCTGCTTGGCTGAACACGAGCCAAGACTCCATCCAAGGCACGGGGCAACACAAAGATAAGTTCTGGCATAGAGCTAACGACTACTTTATCCAGTATACATACCTTGCCAGGCAGTTGGATAGTTCTTCCATGTCCAGTGCATGCAGTCGATGCTCCCAAGCATACCAGGAAAACCTCGTTGTGAGCCTTCCTCGAGCAGGCGTGCAACGTCTTCATTAGTCGGTGCACGAAGGTATTCCTCTCCAAAGATGTTGATAATCGATCGAACGAACCTCTTCACGCTCTCAAGCGACGTACTTTTACCGATTCGAACGTAGTCGTCAACGGAGTCAGCGGATGCTCCATATGCGAGCATCCGCATAGCTGCAGTAATCTTTTGAAGACTAGATAGTCCTAACTGTCCAGCACCATTCCTCTTTTGGACGAAGTACTTGTCATGTTCGACGACTGCGTCGTGGATTCGAAGGAATAACGAACGCCTCATTCTGAACCTTTGACGAAAATAATAAAGAGGATAGGTTGGTGCGTCAGCAAAATAATCTTGGAATAACCGATTGTGGCCTTCCAGTCGGTTTCGATGGAGCACGATACGTCGTTTGTGTTGAACTGAAGTTGAACATTTCTCTTGTTCTTCTTCCTCAACGACAACAGCTCCCATAAGAAAGAACTTCTTCATCATTTCATCATCGCTAGAGCTAGATGAGCTAGACATTTTATTCTGGGAGATGATGGGTTGAGGAGAGAAGCCGTCGAATTTTATAGGAATCAGTCGGATGACGGTCAAATTTTGCGATACCTCGAACCTCGTGCCCAACATCGAAGACCGCGGGTTACATCGAAGACCGTGTGCGTTCCCTCAAAAGCCGCGGGTTACCTCGAAGACCGTGTGCGCTCCCTCGAAGACCGTGGGTGTAGCGTCCAAATCAAAATGCTGAAAGATATCCAAATACAACTGAAGAGAAGATCATCCAAAAAATCCAAAGAATAATGACAGTCTTTACTATTGTACCCGGCGTCAAGAAAATGCTAATAGATATCCACATAGAGAAAATGCACTCAAAAGGGATCTCATAGTTGAAAAGCAAAGCGACGGAATGAACTGTCTCGCCAGGGGCGAGACAGGCGTTTTTGCTGTCTGCCGCCAGCGAGACTAGTATTTGCTGTCTGCGCCAGCGAGACAGCTATTTGCTGTCTCGCCAGCCGAGGACAGTTTTTGCCTGTCTCGCCAGCGAGACAGTGTTTGCTGTCTCGCCAGCGAGACAGTGTTGAAATGGTCAAAAACCACCTGGAACAACTGCCATACACGTCCACTAACTGTTCAAGAACGTGGGAAACGTCATGGGCGAGAATCACGTGGATAACTGCCAAAATAACGGAGTTTGAAACGTGGGAAGACAGTTAAAATGAAAACTGCCTGACTGTTACTATTTCCGAGACAGCATTTACTGTCTCGCGGGCCGAGACAGCAAACACTGTCTCGCCCGTCGAGACAGCAAACACTGTCTCGACAGCGAGACAGTAAACACTGTCTCGCGAGCCTGTTTTCCGCCAACTGTTTCTAGCGGTTATAAATACCCCTCGAAGGCCATTTTTCAAAGGGGGCTGATCATTTTGAGCACTTCAGAGCAATCCAGAGCAGAGAGAGAGCAAAGTTCTTGAGCCTCCGGCAACTCCTTGATATTCAGGCTTTGACTTGATTTCAAGAAGAACGACTATCTTACTTCGATAAGATATCATTTTAATTCTCACTTCGATAAACGAAGTCAGAATCATAAGTCCCCTTCACGATCTGTGATTCGGCGGTCCACCAACCAAAGCGTTCCCGGCACAGGCAAAGTCCCACGAAAACAAAGATCGGTAGACGATTTTTGTGTTTGTTTCCCAAGAGTTGTAATTTTCATTTTGTTGTGTAAAAGAAGTCTTGTAAAAAGGCTATCTCTTTTTGAATTTATTGTAATCGACTGAAGATATTATGAATTCCATGACAAAACCAGCTTTTGACGCAAACAAGCTGGCGACCACAGTGGGAGCCAACGGTCTCGCTGCCGAGACCGTCGTGTCGCAGCCAATCATCAAGATCCTGGTTGAATCAACGGTCGAGTACGAGTTCGACCAAGCAAAGTTTGAGGAGTATTTGTCGTCCTCATCTGTAAAGTCTTCCTCGCCTCGCAAATGCAGGAAGATTTCATCTTCGTTGAAGTTATCAAATGCTACGAATGAAGACTCTCGTCCGATTGTTGCTGAGGATTTTACTCGTAACAGCTCTGCTCAAGATGATTCCTCCCCAATTAAGGAGTCGTTCGATCGAAGTTCACCATTGACGAAAAGAGCTCGTCAGAGACAACGCCAACGCTGCGCTCGCCAAATGGCTAAGGCGTTGGAACAAACCGACGGGGTTCGTTATCATGCGGACCTAGAGTCGAGGAG